GTTGGCCACCAGGTTTGCACACATCTCAGGAGGGATTTATCCCACTCTTCTTTGCAGATCTTCTCCATGTCATTAAGGTTTCGAGGCTGACGTTAGGCAACTCGAACCTTCAGCTCCCTCCACAGGTTTTCTACGGGATTAAGGTCTGGAGACTGGCTAGGCCACTCCAGGACCTTAATGTGCTTCTTCTTGAGCCACTCCTTTGTTGCCTTGGCCGTGTGTTTTGGGTCATTGTCTTGCTGGAATACCCATCCACGACCCATTTTCAATGCCTGGCTGAGGGAAGGAGGTTCTCACCCATGATTTGACGGTACATGGCCCCGTCCATCGTCCCTTTGATGCAGTGAAGTTGTCCTGTCCCCTTAGCAGAAAAACACCCCCAAAGCATAATGTTTCCATCTCCATGTTCGATGGTGGGGATGGTGTTCTTGGGGTCATAGGCAGCAATCCTCCTCACCCAGTTCTCCTCTGAATCATTCAGATGTTCATTGATAAACTTCAGACGGGCTTTTATATGTGCTTTCTTGAGCAGGGGGACCTTGCGGGCGCTGCAGGATTTCAGTCCTTCACGACGTAGTGTGTTACCAATTGTTTTCTTGGTGACTATGGTCCCAGCTGCCTTGAGATCATTGACAAGATCCTCCCGTGTAGTTCTGGGCTGATTCCACACCGTTCTCATGATCATTGCAACTCCACGAGGTGAGATCTTACATGGAGCCCCAGGCCGAGGGAGATTGACAGTTATTTTGTGTTTCTTCCATTTGCGAATAATCAAACCAACTGTTGTCACCTTCTCACCAAGCTGCTTGGCGATGGTCTTGTAGCCCATTCCAGCCTTGTGTAGGTCTACAATCTTGTCCCTGACATCCTTGGAGAGCTCTTTGGTCTTGGCCATGGTGGAGAGTTTGGAATCTAATTGATTGATTGCTTCTGTGGACAGGTGTCTTTTATACAGGTAACAAACTGAGATTAGGAGCACTCCCTTTAAGAGTGTGCTCCTAATCTCAGCTCGTTACCTGTATAAAAGACACCTGGGAGCCAGAAATCTTTCTGATTGAGAGGGGGTCAAATACTTATTTCCCTCATTAAAATGCAAATCAATTTATAACATTTTTGACATGCGTTTTCCTGGATTTTTTTTTGTTATTCTGTCTCTCACTGTTCAAATAAACCTACCATTAAAATTATAGACTGATCATTTCTTTGTTAGTGGGCAAACGTACAAAATCAGCAGGGGATCAAATACTTTTTTACCTCACTGTAGGTGATTTGATGATCTTGAAATATTGAAGTTGAAATGGCGCTGCAATAGTGGAGGCAGCTCCTGTTTTCTTTTTTTCTTGCGGTAATTCTCTGTGGTCCTAAATCAATAGTTGTTTACAGTGCTGTAAAGTACTTAAGTGAAAATACTTTAGTCTTCTTTTGGGGTACCTGTACTTTACATTACTATTTATATTTTTGACAACTTTTATTTTTACTTCACTACATTCCTAAAGAAAAATAATGTACTTTATACTCCATACATTTTTTGTGACACCCAAAAGTACTACTACTACTACTTATATTTTGAATGCTTAGCAGGACAGGAAAATAGTCAAATTCACACACTTATCAAGGGAACATCCCTGGTCATCCCTACAGCCTCTGATCTGGAGTACACACTAAACATAAATGCTTCGTTTGTGAATTATGTCTGAGTGTTGGAGTGTGCCCCTGGCTATCTGTAAATTAAAAAAACAAGAAAATTGTTCTGTCTAGTTTGCTTAATATAAGCAATTTGAAATTATTTATACATTTACTTAAAACCAAATACCTTTAGAATTTTACACAAGCAGTATTTTACTAGGTGACTTTCACTTTTATTTGAGTAATTTTCTATAAAGGAATCTTTTACTTTTTCCACCACTTGTTGTTTAGTAGTCTGAAAATGTCAGAAACTTGTTTGACCATGCTGTAGTAGGTCATGTAACTGTTTGTTTGTGGACTTCACCGGAGAGATGTTGCTCTCCGGTTTTGTGATGAAACAAAGGTGTTGTTGAATCTATTCTGCCACTGTGTCGTCTTATTGTCTCGGCCTTAGGCTTATATACCATGGTGGCATGGGATATGAACTAACAGGTTATAGAGTAAACAACGCAATTATCACAACACATACAGCAGGTTGTAATATGAGTTTTTTTCCTGGCTTGGCTTCCCCAGTGATTATACCCACGCACCACTACTGTTTATAACATAAAGAAGTGACATTTCATTACCAAAGCCGGGCAGAGTGGGTGGACACCCTAGTTATTGTAATAAACCTAAGGCCAGGATTCAATCCAATGTGTGTTATAGAGCAGTCCACTGGACAGCCGACAATGCTTAAAAGGATGTTGGCTCAAGCGAAAATGACCTTCAGAAAGCACAATGTTGATTGAATCCCAGCCTAAGGTTTATTACAACGTCATTTTCAGACCAAAGAAAACAAGGGAATTTCACTGCATATTTATTTCAAAACATGATAGAGTATATACATTTGCAAATCATGTTGAGGAAAAAAAAGAACATAAATCAGCAGAAATATACATCAAACAGTGATAAGCAGCATAATAATCATCATACTATTCACCTGCTTAACATTCAAAATGTATAGTGTTGTAAAACATAGCTAAATCAATAAAATGTGATTATAGAGAATGTATAAAGAACGTTCATGGCTTAATTCAATTAAATTAATTATAAATGCCTCTCACTGTATGTATAATAATATTTTCAGGATAAAATCCTCATTCAACTATTTTTAATAGTTACGTTTTACTCTAACCAAAAATATAATAATTGCAGTATGAGAACTAGGAAGGATCTCTTAGATTTCAAAGGTATGTTTCTTCCTAATAAGGAAAGGCAGATTATGTAAAAACAGCAGCTCAAAATAAAATCCATAAATCGTCAGATTAATGTCTCAGTACGTCTGACAAATAGATACCGTTTTACTCAATTCAGTAGTGTTTATTTTTCTCCAAAGGAATACATATCTAAAGACAGTAGCTTGTGAGAGATACACACATCACACATCAGGATAAACTTAAATACTAGCACTAGGCTGGATTCTCCAAAGGGACAAAGACAGATCTTCAAATTCATGTCACGCACACCTGCAGGTGCACACACATGCACCCACACACTGATGTGTATAGATATCTCTTTTAGACGATTACTGTAGTGACATCCGTCTGCATATTTTTTGCGTTCCAGATATTCAATTAGGCATACACCTCACTACATTGGGGAACTGTGTGTGCGTGTGCCCAGAGTGTGTGTGTGCACGCGCAGACAGCGCGTGTGTGTGTGTGTGTGTATATGTCAGATCAGTTCAGTGTGTGTCAGTTCATCATCTCCAAGCTGCAGCTCCTGCTATTGTGTGTGATGAGTTTAAATGCTATAACAATGTTGGGAGCACCTCTGCCACGTGCCTGGTGTCTCCCACACTTTAGGTAGAGGAGACTGGAGAGCTTACTATAGTTAGGTACTGTCATGTAAAAACACTGTAAATTTCATTAAACAACACTATGACAGTTCTACACACTGTTCCTCATAGTTTACCTTTTTTATTATTACCTATTTTGTGTGTGTATGTGCGTGTGTTTCTTGGTAGTAGGCTAAGGGTTAGTTGTTAGTTAGTCTGACTTGGCCTACAGCACCACTGGAGTGGGAGTTTAAGGGTTAACAGCACACGTAAATACTCTAATCACTTCAATACATTTTCTGATCAATAGATTTAGGTAAAAAACATCCACCTGATAGGAAAGTGCCATTCTGCTTGTTCGTGTGTGTGTGTTGATCTTACCCATGTGACAGCCAGTGACGTTTTGACCATCCCTCATACATTCTCCTTCATTCATCTGCAGATAGACATTTCTTAATTAATGTCACTGCTCTAGTGTGACACAATAACCTTTTCAGTGCCATTCAGTAAAATGACATATTGGCTACGTCCCAATATCAACACATACCACAATGCATCCCACTCTGAATGCAATCCCCAATACATTGCTTCATTCTAGGTAGTATGCTCGAGTGGGTATTGGAACAGAGCCTAGGTATGGGTAAACCAAATGTTTGTGACGTCATATGGCAGACGTCATAACTGACTGTTTTTCACAACATGTTGTCAACATTAGAATAACTAGACAGAGCTTGTTTCTCTCTGGTTCCACAGTAGGCCTATTTACTTAACACACCTTCAATGTGCAAGGAAAAACACAAGAGAATAATGAAAAGAGAGAGATATTATAAATATAAAATAAACAACATCTTCACGTCACACAAAGCATTCTGGCTACCGAGGGGAATTACTAGAGGGGCGGGGCCTAATAGTCCAGGTTAGGAAGAGTGTCTCTCATTGGTTTGTGGTTCAGTTGCGGTTAACTTTTGGACTCTTTTGTGGATTAGTCCCTAGGTTACTGTAGTTAGTTCCTCTGTTTCTACCTAAATAACAGTATCTGCCCTCTTGTGGCAGGACCTCCAGACCTCTAGAACCCCTCTACCTTGGACAATGCTTGCTTGTCCCCCTCCCCCTTATCCCTCTCTGCCTTGCACCTCTTCTCCTCTTGCACCCCTGTCCCTTGTCCCCTCTCCCTTATTCCCATCTCCTCTTGCACCCCTAGCCCTGGCCTGCACCCCTCCCCTCTCGAACCCTTATCCCCCTCACCCTTTTTACCTCTCTCCCTTGTACCCTTCTCCTCTAGCACCTCTTGTTCCCTTATCATCTTGTCCCTCTTCCCCCTCCATTCAGCCTGGTGGTCTGACTTTAGTTACAGTAGTTTGTTAGTTCCCCTGTAGTCCTTAGTCATGTCTGCTCTCTGTCCAATCATCCCCTGGCTGGATTAGTCCACTGGAGTCTTCTGTACGACCTCCTCCACTGTAAGGGTCCATCCATTCCTCCCATGTTTAGGCTAGTTCATGCCCAGCCTTGTGATCCTCTGCTGGGGCTCCAGTTCATCCATTCCTCCCTCCCCTGGTTAGGTGAACTCAGCGTCCAGCTCCTCAGTGCTGCGGCCCAGTGTTGCGCTGGTCCTTGTGGTGGTCTGCGTGGTGGTCCTACTTGAGGTGGAGTGGACTTTGCCGATCTCCTCCAGGGCGCTGGCCAGAGAGTCCAGGTCCCCTGTGTCCTGGTGCTGGGCCTCCCATAGGCTGAGGATCACCGCTGATGGGCTCTCCTGACGCGCAAAGTAACACAGGTTCCTAGAGAGAGGGGTGAGGGAAGTGGGGGGGGGAAGCCAGAGAGAGAGAGATAGGGACAGAGAGGACACTGTTCATATAGAATACTGGGGCTTGATGAGTAGTTGACCAGATGATTCAGATATGCTTGTACTGGAATAGATCCAACAAGAGGTACTGGCTGCGGTTACTCGGGAAGAGGTTTGGGAGACACTGGACAAAAAGTATGAGGGAGAAATGAGTGGATGATGAAAAGGAAGAAGGAAACAAATACATGTATATTGCATCGCTTAACTCATTATGCTGAATATCAAAGTCAAAATCCTGAATATCAAATTCAGCATCAACTTCCTACTCCCTCACTGCTATCCCACCACCTCAGCTGTTCACCAGAGGGCACTGTTTCATCACAGTATACCTCTCCCTCTCCCTCTCCCTCTCCCTCTCTCTCTCCCTCTCTCTCTCCCTCTCTCTCTCCCTCTCCCTCTCTCTCTCCCTCTCTCTCTCCCTCTCTCTCTCCCTCTCTCTCTCCCTCTCTCTCTCCCTCTCTCCCCTTCTCCTCTCAGGCGTGGTGATGATGCTCCCACACACCCAGAGATTTAATAGCAAAAATCTGCTTAACAAGGTAGAGACATTCTCATTACATGCTGCTGGCGGCTTCCACTGGGTAGAAAATGATTCCCAAATCCTTCTCCCATTCCCGAAATACCTCATGTTGTTTACTGGCACAGTTTTCTGGTTTATGTCACGCAGCTTATGTCACCCTTTTACTCAGTAAACTCCCCCCTCCCCTTTCCCCACTCCTAAAAGATAGATGGAAGATCAGAGAGAGGGAGGGGGAGGGGGGGGGGGGGGGGGGGGGGTGCGGGACAGAGAGATAAAGTGATGGTGGAAAGGGTTGGCTATGTGGAAACAAGACAACAGGACTGTGTTTACACAGGCAGCCCAATGGTCAAAAGATCTGATCGGATTGGTGAAAATACCAGTTAGTGACAAAAATATCAGAATAGGGCTGCCTGGTAAACGCAGCCAAGATGGCTGAAACATAGCCCTCTATTATTGACTGTTTCTTCTTCTGCTGAGGGAATAGAGATCACCCATTATCAAACTGCTAAAATCCCCAACATCCTAAGCATATAGCGCTCTGGCAGCTATCCCAGAAATACTTCTACAGGAGGGAGGGATGGAGGGAATGAAGGAGGGAGAGAGGGACGTATGTGGAGAGGACAGTTAATGAGGACAGCAGGTAACACTTTATTTGGATAGTCCATCTGAAGATGCTCTAGAGACTATCTACAGACTATCAGTAACATTTCACCTAACTATCTGCTAACCCTAACCGTATCACTAACCTTAACCCTTATCCTAACCCTAAACTTAACCCTTACCCTTACCCTTAACCTAACCCTCACCTTAACCCTTGCCCTAACCCTTATTCTAAACCTAAACCTAACTGTAACCTTAGCAAGCAGTTGCTTATCAACAGATAAGCAACTAAAGTGTAACCGGACACATTGTTTCCTCATAATATTATCATCATATTATACTCGTTCTCTCATTTTCTCTCTTACAGCTCCAGCCTGAGCAACCAGTGGCCTGAGACCTTCCTGCAGTTGACCCAAATACACAATCTCCTCCAGCTATTGTGTGTGTGTGTCTCTCAGACACATTTGAATGCATTCAGTTGTACAACTGACTAGGTATCCCCCTTTCCCTTCCCAACAGTGGTGAAGATTCAGATTAAAAAGCCAACCAGTATGCAAATGAACTGGGCACAGCCATGGGGACAATTGATAGACAGAGTTGAATCAGTCAAGGTTGATAATTTCTGTAATTTGGTCATTTCATAATGAGTCATTTGCAATCATATTGACCAAGCCAATAGAGCAAACAAAGTTAAGACACATTTCTGTAGCGTGCAGTATCATTATTAATCAATACAACTTCTAGACTACCTAAATTAAATTGACTTAAATGGGTGGTACTCAAAATGCTAGTCAAATTTAAACATGGTGAACATTGCACGGGCCAGTATAACAGTTGTACTAGAAATTAAGGACGGGGACCCAGGGTTTCTTTGTGTATAGTACCAGAAAGAGTTTATGTGTGTGAATGTGTGTGTGTGTGTGCATATGTATGGATGTGTTTAACTATTCTTGTGGGGACCAGAAGTCCCCACAAGAATAGTAAACAAACATAAATTTGACCAACTGGGGACATTTTGTTAGTCCCCACAATGTAAAATGCTATTTCTAGGGGGTTTAGGGTTAAGGTTAGAATTAGTGTTAGGGTTAGAATTACGTTAAGGGTTAGGGTTAGGAGCTAGGGTTAGTTTTAGGGTTTGGAGCTAGGGTTAGGTTTAGGGTTAGGTTTTTGGGTTAGGTTTAGGGTAAGAGTACGGGTTAGGGTTAGGTTTAGGGTTAGGGGTTAGGGAAAATAGGATTTTGAATGGGACTGAATTGTGTGTCCCCACAAGGTGTGTGTGTGTGTGTGTCTTTGAGTGATTGTGTGTGTGTGTGTGTGTGTGTGTGTGTGTGTGTGTGTGTGTGTGTGCGCAAGTGCATGCAAATGGTATCTCACCTGTCTATGCAGAGTTTCTGTGCAAGCAGCTGCCAGTCCTTGCCCTTGGCGTTGGCTGTGTCGAAGGTGGCACAGATCCTCTGGCGGATGGACAGTGGGATCTTGAAGGCGCTGGACCCCATCTGTGATGTGATGGTACAGTCCGACTGAGTGAAGAAGGGGACTACCTCCTTTTCACTCTGGAGGAAGAAACCATTACAGGATTTAAAAAAGAGGGGTGTCAGGGTGGTAAAATATTTTCACTCACAGTTAAATAGATAATTTCAAGTCTTATAATTCACAATTCAATGCATTTCTACAGATAACAGCGGATTATACGTCTTCAAAGAGTTAAACCGATGCAATCTACAAGTCAAGAGCCCCTGAGAGCTTCATTAAGAAAAGCTCTTCAGTCAAATCCGGAGACATTCACTCTAATGAGAGAGCCAATTAGTATAACAGCATCACCTCCATTTGGGGTTTACACACACACTAGCATTAATTTATACACACACATGGACATATACACACTTATGAAGATGGACACTCACAAACACAGGGCCACATGTGCGCGTCCACACACACACACACATACACACACACACACACTTCCTCCCACACACACTCCTCCCCTTACCTCGACCACGGAGGTGTAGACCTGGAGGATCTGCTCCTGACCTTTGACCTGGCGCACACTGATCTTACAGGACAGCTGGGAGGAGGCGGGGCTGTAGCGCTCCAATGAGAAGGCACACTGCAGGGGGTGCTGGTTACTAGCCCACACCTGAGAGAACGAGAACTCCTGGAGGAAGAGAGAGACGGAGAGAGAGAGGAAGAGAGGGGAGAGAGAGAGAGAGAGAGAGCGAGATCAATATATTAAATAAACTTTAGTCGACTGGTCGATTGTTTGGTCGATAGGCTGGTCGAGCAGTGGTGCCATATATATATATAAAAAATGTATGGTCCAAGAGACACCTGTCTGATTCATGCCTGTCTCAGTGGACTAATCCATTGCAGAAGCCACACCAGCATCACCAGTAGCACATTTACCGTTAATTCCCATAATTTCTAATCTACAATGTTTGTTTGGTTAAAGTAATTTCTGTTAATGCATTCAATATATTATTATTACAGTCTTACCGTTGTCATTGTAGGAGTGGACACATTGTTTGCAGAGCGTACAACCAGAATATTTCATACAATGTTGCAAGTTTGCTAGCACGATCGGACTGGACCAAGTTAATAGTTGATACAATGTATGTTTCAAGTTCCTTGCAGACAGGCCATGCGTAGCCAATGTGATTTATAGGATATTTATTTTTATCAGGATATTTTCTACCTGCATCCTTTTAGATTTGTATCATTTTCATTTAGATAGAATTTTGATTAACCACATGACATTGATTTTGAGATATGAAGACTTCATTATAAATTAAATGAAATTGTTACATGAAAATGTGCATATGAAAATCATAAGTAGATCAGTAGAAATGGTATGATAACTTGGCACTCCAAATGGAAAAGGTTGCCGACCATTGTTGTAGCCTATTACCGGCATCGATTAGGAGCATAATGGCAGAATCTGCGAAGACCAGCAACAGCGGGCAGTGGGAGGAGGTGGCTCGGGAACAGGTTTTTTTCTTCTGGTTAGGCTATATTGATCTCTGGCTCCCTCTTTAGTAATTTGTGTGTCTTCATTTTTAATCGCAGTGCTTAAAGCATCAGAAAAGCTCAGTAGCCTATATATAGTTGATTTTATTCAAACATAGGGTGTGTCTATATATAGAAAAATACACGTTTATAAATGTCTACCAATCGATTGGTCGAAAGAACAGACGACTCTCGGTTGACCAAGATTTTTTTTAGTCAGGGACAGCCCTAAACTATATACCTAATCTAGCACTGGTCCCGTATTCACAAAGAGTCTCAGAGTACTGATATAGAATCAATTTGGCCTTTTAGATCCTAATAAATAAAATTACATGAACGGGGGGGGACCTGATCCTACATCAGCATTTCTACTCTGAGGCACATTTTGAATACAGGCCCTGGATGACAACATTTGCTAAACACAATGCCTCAATGCAAGCTAATTGTATTGCCCTCTTTCCTATATTTCACCTTTTAACTACTAGTTAAAGGTCCAAAAATAGCTTCTTAGCAAAGAGTGATTTCTTAAGCAAGAATTTTGCTAGGACTGTCTAGGAGTGGTCTGAGTGGGGATGGGAAAACTGAAAACTAGCTGTTATTGGCAGAGAGGTTTGGACCTCTCTTTCTTATTGGTCTTTCTTATTGGACTGCCTGTCACCAGGCAGGCCAAAACTTTATCCCACCAAAACAGTCTGAAATTTCAGGCGGTCTTTTCAAACAGCTCTTACACTAAAAAGGGCATTATCATAATTTTCACAATTTCACAGTATTATTCCAACCTCATAATGTGGAAATATATAAAAAACACAGGAAAATCACATTATTGACAGCACTGGGTCTTTAAGACCAGACCAGGTCAATGATCTCTTTAGCCACTCAACGACCTCAGCTAATCATTGAAGGGATTACAATCAGCAGCCTCTTGGGGATGGGGTTGTGTATCCATGAGCAAACTGAATTAACATTCCAGTCTTCAAAGTCAATTCAGTTCCTACATATTGTGTAGTTTCAATGACAAACAAACAGCAAGTCAATACATTTTGTTGTGTGTATGTTTGTGTGTGTGTGTGTGTGTGTGTGTGTGTGTGTGTGTGTGTGTGTGTGTGTGTGTGTGTGTGGAGAAGATAGTTCTGGTCCCCTGCTGCTGTCCCTGCTCTTTGATGTGACCACAGAGGAAGAAGAAGGGATCGTTAATGGAGGAGAGGAATCTGATGAAGGGATTGTGGTGGAAGGGAGGTTTCTCTAATGATGGGGTTCCACGCACACCCACACTCCCTCTCTAACCCCCCCTCCCTTTCCCACACACACTCCTCCATCCCCTACCTGGCAGGTGGTGAAAGGCTTGATGCTCCAGAGGAACTGGGGGACGTCCTGGATGGAGAGTTGCAGGCTGAGGGAGTTCCCCCTGAACAGCAGCGTCTTGGGCTCCTCCAGGAGACGACCGCCCCTCACCCGCTCGGCCGACGCCACCTCCTGATAGGGTGGAGAGGGGAGGGGACGGGAAGGGGTGGAGGAGGAGAAGAGGGGGGAAGGATGAGAGACGAAGGGAGGTGGGAAGGGGGGAAGGGAAGAGGGAGAGTGGGGAAGGAGGTGGGAGGTAGGAGGCGGAGAGAGAGTGGGGGAGAAGTTGGCAAGATGGAAAGAGGGAGAGAGAGTGTGATAGAGAAGGGAGATGAGGGAAGGAGAGAAAGGTGAGATTAAAGGATGAGAATTACATTGAATCCGGGTGTGTTTACAGCGTTGAAGAACAGTATACACAGATTACAGAACATAGAAAATCAATATTACTCAGTCACAACCCCTCTCCTCCATCTGTCAGTGAGTTTTTAGGAGATAGACGATATGGTTCAAGAGAAAATAGCCTAATTAATGAAAAAAAGTGTCTAATCAACAATGGGATTCTTTTCAATTAACTCTGCAACTCATCCAACTATTGACTTTTTTTCACAACTGCCAACAGTTTGCCGCCAAAACATTGACAACAAATACATATTGACATGGTAAAATAAAATAAAAGTGTGTAAATAAATGTAAAGGATATTTCATGCTGAAACACTCATATTAAACACCAATAGTATTCACTAAGTTTATGGTTTATATTTAGGATAATGTTTTACAGCTTTGTCATTCTATGTTTCATTTTAAAATCATCTTATTTAATTATTTCATATATTTTACATGTGATAAGGCCACACAGAGGGCCAGAGACACCTGTGATAATCTGAAGTACCCAAAAGGGCCACTAGATGTATTGTGACAGATTACGTAACATCCTTGAAAGATACGAAATTCTGGTAGTTTACTGGTAAACTTAAAAGGTTTCCAGTAATATACTGTGGCAAAGAAAGGGGCAGAGTGTTAAATGGCAGATATGTGAGAGCAGAACTAATAAACGGGCTCTGCCCTCTCACTAAAATGGCCACCCCGACAGATCACAAAATGGCAGACCGCCAAAAACTACAATCCCCAGAAGCAAGGGGAATGCTCGCAAGGTGGGGCCGACCCACATATAAGGGGTCAACCCTATTTTCTGTTGCAATTGTAATAGACCGGAACATATTGCGGCCTACTGCCCTGTGAAAGAAGAGCCAATGCAATGTAACCTCGGTGGAAAAGAAGAAGCTGATATATGGTATGCATGTCCTGTGGTAACCACTGTACTTGAAAGACCAATAAATGAACATATGTGCATGGTGAAGGTTGAAGGGAAAGAGGTTGGAGCCCTGCTTGATTCCGGCAGTATGTTAACCTTGGTCGTTGCAGACCTCGTGCCGACTCATAAACTGGATAAGTCAGGATGTCAGTGTTACGTGCATTCATGGGGATACCCGTCCGTATCCAACAGCCTTAGTGAGCATACAAACTGAGGAGGGGTTGCTGGATTATGAGGTTTGCGTGGTCCCAAAGATGATGTAATACTGGGTAGATACTTTCCTAACTTTGCGAGGTTAGGCCAAAATAATGGCATATTTGAGAAGCAAACCCCCCTGACCAAGCAGGAAGTAGCATCTAGCCCTCAACCAAAGCCAAGAAAATAGAAGGTTTCCCAGGGGCCAACCTCACAGGTGCTAGTAGGGGAGGATGAGGAAGGGGCAGACCCCGTCAATAATGAGCAGCCCGGTACTAGTTGGGCCGGGGATCGATCTGGATTCAGAGGGCGACTATCTAGAACCAACAGACCTGGCAGGGTCCCTGACTAATTTCGGGACGGCCCAGACCCAGGATCCAAACCTGCAGCAAGCCAGAGCAGATGTGCAGGTCGTGGATGGTACCCCCATAAATGACGGGACGATGCCTAATAGTTTCCCCCACTTCATCAGAGTCTCAAAAATAGGGGTTGATGTGGTGGAACAGTTGTTGGTCCCCACCCAGTACCGAAAAACAGTACTGGACCTAGCTAATGGGCATATTCTGGGGGGACACCTTGGTATCGATAAAACCCGAGACAGGATTGTGAGGTTTTACTGGCCAGGTATTCAGGCTGAGGTGACTCGACATTGTGGGGAATGCCCCGAGCGCCAGTTAACAGCTCCCCGACCAGCTGTTAGAAGCCCATTAGTGCCACTCCACATAATCAAAACGCCATTTGAGAGGATGGCAATGGATATAGTGGGCCCACTACCCAAATCTGCCAGAGGGCACTAATACATTCTGGTCATCCTAGATTATGCCGCTCGCTACCCAGAAGCCATTCCCCTTCGGACGATGGTTTCCAAAAATATTGCAAAGGAGTTAGTGCTCCTGTTCACCAGGGTAGGGATTCCAAAGGAAATCCTTACTGACCAGGGGACCCCCTTTATGTCCCGCCTTATGGCGGACCTTTGTAAGTTGTGGCAGGTGAAACAGTTGAGGACATCGGTTTACCATCCTCAGACGGATGGGCTGGTTGAGAGATTCAACCGCACCCTGAAGTCAATACTCAGGAAGGTAATCGATAAGGATGGGAAAAACTGGGATTTCATGTTACCGTATCTGATGTTTGCCATTAGAGAGGTTCCCCAAGCCTCACTGGGGTTTTCACCCTTTGAGCTAGTATATGAGAGGCACCCCCGGGGAATCTTAAGACATCGCCCGGGAAACCTGGGAGCACCAGGCCACCCCTTATATTGTGTTATAGAGCACGTCACGGCAATGCAAGACAGGATAGCCACAGTCACGCCCATCGTCAGAGAGCACATGAGGCAAGCACAAGAGGACCAGCGGCACACTTATAACCGGCAGGATACCCTGAGGGAATTTCAACCGGGAGATAAGGTGTTAGTGCTGGTCCCCACGGTAGAGTGTAAACTACTAGCCACATGGAAAGGACCCTATGAAGTGCTGGAGAAAATAGGATAAGTTATCGGATCCGACAGCCAGGTCGTCGGCCCCCGGAATAGATCTATCACATACAGTTGAAGTCGGAAGTTTACATACACCTTAGCTAAATACATTTAAACTCAGTTTTTCACAATTCCTGACATTTAATCCTAGTAAAAATTCCCTGTCTTAGGTCAGTTAGGATCGCCACTTTATTTTAAGAATGTGAAATGTCAGAATAATAGAGAGAATGATTTATTTCAGCTTTTATTTCTTTCATCACATTCCCAGTGGGTCAGAAGTTTACATACACTCAATTAGTATTTGGTAGCATTGCCATTAAATTGTTTAACTTGGGTCAAACATTTTGGGTAGCCTTCCAAGAGCTTCCAACAATAAGTTGGGTGAATTTTGGCCCATTCCTCCTGACAGAGCTGGTGTAACTGAGTCAGGTTTGTAGGCCTCCTTGCTCGCACACACTATTTCAGTTCTGCCCACAGATTTTCTATAGATTGAGGTCAGGGCATTGTGATGGCCACTCCAATACCTTGACTTTGTTGTCCTTAAGCCATTTTACCACAACTTTGGAAGTATGCTTGGGGTCATTGTCCATTTGGAATACCCATTTGCGACCAAGCTTTAACTTCCTGACTGATGTCTTGAGATGTTGCTTCAATATATCCACATAATTATCTTTCCTCATGATGCCATCTATTTTGTGAAGTGCACCAGTCCCTCCTGCAGCAAAGCACCCCCACAGCATGATGCTGCCACCCCCGTGCTTCACGGTTGGGATGGTGTTCTTTGGCTTGCAAGCAACCCCCTTTTTCCTCCAAACATAACGATGGTCATTATGGCCAAACAGTTCTATTTTTGTTTCATCAGACCAGAGGACATTTCTCCAAAAACTAAGATCTTTATCCCCATGTGCAGTTGCAAACCGTAGTCTAGCTTTTTTATGGCGGTTTTGGAGAAGTGGCTTTTTCCTTGCTGAGCGGCCTTTCAGGTTATGTTGATAAAGGACTATTTTTACTGTGGATATAGATACTTTTGTACCTGTTTCCTCCAGCATCTTCACAAGGTCTTTTGCTGTTGTTCTGGGATTGATTTACTGTGCAGCCGTCTTCATCGACCTGGCCAAGGCTTTTAACTCTGTCAATCACCGCATTCTTATTGGCAGACTAAATAGCCTTGGTTTCTCAAATGACTGCCTTGCCTGGTTCACCAACTACTTCTCAGATAGAGTTCAATGTGTCAAATCGGAGGGCCTGTTGTCTGGACCTCTGGCAGTCTCTATGGGGGTGCCACAGTGTTAAATTCTCGGGCCAACTCTATTCTCTGTGTATATCAATGATGTCGCTCTTGCTGCTGGTGACTCTGGATCCACCTCTACGCAGACGACACCATTTTGTATACATCTGTGTTAACAAACCTCCAAACGAGCTTCAATGCCATACAACACTCCTTCCGTGGCCTCCAACTGCTCTTAAACGCTAGTAAAACTAAATGCATGCTCTTCAATCGAATGCTGCTTGCACCCGCCCGCCCGACTAGAATCACTACTCTCGGCGGGTCTGACTTAGAATATGTGGACAACTACAAATACCTAGGTGTCTGGTTAGACCGTAAACTCTCCTTCCAGACTCACATTAAGCATCTCCAATCCAAAGTGAAATCTAGAATCGGCTTCCTATTTCACAACAAAGCCTCCTTCACTCATGTTGCTAAACATGCCCTCGTAAAACTGACTATCCTACCGATCCTTGACTTCGGCGATGTCATTTACAAAATAGCTTCCAACACTCTACTCAGCAAATTGGATGTAGTCTATCACAGTGCCATCAGTTTTGTCACCAAAGCCCCATATACTACCCACCATTGTGACCTGTACGCTCTCGTTGGCTGGCCCTCACTACATATTCGTCGCCAAACCCACTGGCTCCAGGTCATCTATAAAGATTAGGTATTCAGTTAGCCCTCTTTGCAAGAGAAAGGAAATGGAAGAATTGCTTAAAAGGCATTTTTCATCAACTAGAAAGAATTCCATAATCATGTCACTTGTAGAATGAAACCCCCCCCAAACACACAATGAAACAAATAAACAAATCCTGGCATCAAAACGTCCAATAAATAAGATCAGGAAGCACAATAGCCCTAAAATGCTGTTTCAGTTGAATTCATTGACAATACATGAGAAGCCACACAAAGAGACAGAAATCAAGCCTAATCTTCCAGAATAGCATTTCCTATTGATTAAAGGACTTTGGTGATTTCACGCTTTTTGGGTTCTCATCCATGGGTATTGTTGTGTGCTTCTCTAGGGAGACCGGGAGCATTAGTGTGTGTGTGTCTTTGTGTGTGTCTGTGTGTACGCATGTACTGTATTTGTCTCTGTGTGTGTGTGTGTCTGCCGGCCGTCTCCATCACAAAGTGAAAGGCGTAGGCCAGTGTTTCCCAAACTCGGTCCTGGGGACCCGAAGGGGTGCACATTTTGGTTAATGCCCTAGCACTACACAGCTGATTCAAATAATCAACTCATTATTAAGCTTTGATTATTTGAATCAGCTCTGTAGTGTTAAGGCAAAAACCAAAACGTGCACCCCTTGGGGTCCCCAGGACCGAGTTTGGGAAATGGAAAAATCGCAACCTTGCTTCCCTTAACTTTCCTGGCTGGGCATCGCAAGGGAAATCATTTGTCGTATGAAGCCCAAACAACACAAAAACAGGACAAATAAACAGGGCAGAGTGACAGAGAGAGAGACTGAGAAAATTGGCTGGTGGGTTCCCCAAATGCAATTTCTCTCTATTCACCATGCAAGGCTCCCCTCTGACTGCGTCCAGAACCGAAGCTGCTCTAATGAGCCAAGATCTGTCAAATCACAACCTCTCTGGAGAATAACACACAGGTTTAAAGCAACTGGCTGCTGTCAGAGGTGTGTGTGTGTGTGTTTGTCTTTTTGTGTGAACGAGACAGAAATAGGATAATGGGTGTCGATATGAGAGAGAATGATTGAAATTGAAAATACTGTTCGCTGCTCTGGCACCCCAATGGTGGAACAAGCTCCCTCACGACGCCAGGACAGCGGAGTCACTGACCACCTTCCGGAGACACTTGAAACATTTTACATTTACATTTTAGTCATTTAGCAGACGCTCTTATCCAGAGCGACTTACAGGTAGTGAGTGCATACATCATTTTTTTATTTTTCATACTGGCCCCCCATGGGAATCGAACCCACATCCCTGGCGTTGCAAACGCCATGCTCTACCAACTGAGCTACATCCCTGCCGGCCATTCCCTCCCCTACCCTGGACGACGCTGGGCCAATTGTGCGCCATGGGTCTCCCGGTCGCGGCCGGCTACGACAGAGCCTGGATTCGAACCAGGATCTCTAGTGGCACAGCTAGCACTGCGATGCAGTGCCTTAGACCACTGCGTCACTCGGGAGGAAACCCTACCTCTTTAAGGATTTTTTTTTGTGTGAAATAATATATATATAAACAGTGGGGGAAAAAAGTATTTAGTCAGACACCAATTGTGCAAGTTCTCCCACTTAAAAAGATGAGAGAGGCCTGTCATTTTCATCATAGGTACACGTCAACTATGACAGACAAATTGAGATTTTTTTTCTCCAGAAAATCACATTGTAGGATTTTTTATGAATATATTTGCAAATTATGGTGGAAAATAACTATTTGGTCACCTACAAACAAGCAAGATTTCTGGCTCTCACAGACCTGTAACTTCTTCTTTAAGAGGCTCCTCTGTCCTCCACTCGTTACCTGTATTAATGGCACCTGTTTGAACTTGTTATTAGTATAAAAGACACCTGTCCACAACCTCAAACAGTCACACTCCAAACTCCACTATGGCCAAGACCAAAGAGCTGTCAAAGGACACCAGAAACAAAATTGTAGACCTGCACCAGGCTGGGAAGACTGAATCTGCAATAGGTAAGCAGCTTGGTTTGATGAAATCAACTGTGGGAGCAATTATTAGGAAATGGAAGACATACAAGACCACTGATAATCTCCCTCGATCTGGGGCTCCACGCAAGATCTCACCCCGTGGGGTCAAAATGATCACAAGAACAGTGAGCAAAAATTCCAGAACCACACGGGGGGACCTAGTGAATGACCTGCAGAGAGCTGGGACCAAAGTAACAAAGCCTACCATCAGTAACACACTATGCCGCCAGGGACTCAAATCCTGCAGTATTTAGTCAGCCACCAATTGTGCAAGTTCTCCCACTTAAAAAGATGAGAGAGGCCTGTAATTTTCATCATAGGTACACGTCAACTATGACAGACAAAATGAGAAAAAAAATTCCAGAAAATCACATTGTAGGATTTTTAATGATTTTATTTGCAAATTATGGTGGAAAATAAGTATTTGGTCAATAACAAAAGTTTCTCAATACTTTGTTATATACCCTTTGTTGGCAATGACACAGGTCAAACGTTTTCTGTAAGTCTTCACAAGGTTTTCATACACTGTTGCTGGTATTTTGGCCCATTCCTCCATGCAGATCTCCTCTAGAGCAGTGATGTTTTGGGGCTGTCGCTGGGCAACACGGACTTTCAACTCCCTCCAAAGATTTTCTATGGGGTTGAGATCTGGAGACTGGCTAGGCCACTCCAGGACCTTGAAATGCTTCTTACGAAGCCACTCCTTCGTTGCCCGGGCGGTGTGTTTGGGATCATTGTCATGCTGAAAGACCCAGCCACGTTTCATCTTCAATGCCCTTGCTGATGGAAGGAGGTTTTCACTCAAAATCTCACGATACATGGCCCCATTCATTCTTTCCTTTACACGGATCAGTCGTCCTGGTCCCTTTGCAGAAAAACAGCCCCAAAGCATGATGTTTCCACCCCCATGCTTCACAGTAGGTATGGTGTTCTTTGGATGCAACTCAGCATTCTTTGTCCTCCAAACACGACGAGTTGAGTTTTTACCAAAAAGTTCTATTTTGGTTTCATCTGACCATATGACATTCTCCCAATCCTCTTCTGGATCATCCAAATGCACTCAAACAAACTTCAGACGGGCCTGGACATGTACTGGCTTAAGCAGGGGGACACGTCTGGCACTGCAGGATTTGAGTCCCTGGCGGCGTAGTGTGTTACTGATGGTAGGCTTTGTTACTTTGGTCCCAGCTCTCTGCAGGATATTCACTAGGTCCCCCCGTGTGGTTCTGGGATTTTTGCTCACCGTTCTTGTGATCATTTTGACCCCACCGGGTGAGATCTTGCGTGGAGCCCCAGATCGAGGGAGATTATCAGTGGTCTTGTATGTCTTCCATTTCCTAATAATTGCTCCCACAGTTGATTTCTTCAAACCAAGCTGCTTACCTATTGCAGATTCAGTCTTCCCAGCCTGGTGCAGGTCTACAATTTTGTTTCTGGTGTCCTTTGACAGCTCTTTGGTCTTGGCCATAGTGGAGTTTGGAGTGTGACTGTTTGAGGTTGTGGACAGGTGTCTTTTATACTGATAACAAGTTCAAACAGGTGCCATTAATACAGGTAACGAGTGAAGGACAGAGGAGCTTCTTAAAGAAGAAGTTATAGGTCTGTGAGAGCCAGAAATCTTGCTTGTTTGTAGGTGACCAAATACTTTTTTTCCACCATCATTTGCAAATAAATTCATTAAAAATCCTACAATGTGATTTTCTGGATTTTTTTTTCTCAATTTGTCTGTCATAGTTGACGTGTACCTATGATGAAAATTACAGGCCTCTCTCATCTTTTTAAGTGGGAGAACTTGCACAATTGGTGGTTGACTAAATACTTTTTTTCCCCACTGTATCAAAATTGTAAAGTGGTTGTCCCACTGGCTATCATAAGGTGAATGCACCAATTTGTATGTCGCTCTGGATAAGAGCGTCCGCTAAATGACGTAAATGTAATGTAAATGTAAATTAGTTTGTGTGACAAGGCCATAGCTACTCTTCATTGTATACGACTCATACATCACCTCTTTACAGAGAATGCACACACACTGTCTCTGTCTCTGTCTCTGTGTGTGTGACTGGACTGGCTAATCTCCGGTGGAGCGTGAAAATCAGATGGAGAAACCTCTTCTCACGCAGGAGTGGCTACGGGACAAGTCTTTGAAAGTCGTTGAGTGGCCCAGCCAGAGTCCGGACGTGAACCCGATCTAACATCTCTGGAGAGACCTGAAAATCCAGGCTGTAATCGCTGCCAAAGGTGCTTCAACAAAGTACTGAGTAAAGGGTCTAAATACTTATGTAAATGTGATATTTCATTTATTTATTTTGTAATACATTTTCTTATGGTGTATTGTGTGTAGATTGATGAGAAAATAAAACAATTTTATCAATTTTAGAATAAGGCTGTAACGTAACAAAATGTGGAAAAAGTCAAGGGGTCTGAATACTTTCCTCGGCGCGCACCCAAAAAATGAATAACGATTGCCCAGCAATGGGATGCTAGGAGCTGGAGAGCGCTGCTTAGACAACTGTGATATGCCAGTGCACAATGCTCTAGCAAGCCTTCGACAAAAACCATAGCCCAAACCTTTACCCCTCTATCCTAAACTTAACCCTTTGAGCTGTTTTTGTTTTAACCCTGTAACCACACAGAATTTACCCTGTAACCGCGCGGAATTAATGCATAAAAAATAGACGTTCATCCATAATACGTTGAATTTCTAAGGGAAACTATGCGATCTTGTTGGCCACCAATCCATTCATCCATCCATCCATCCATCCATCCATCCATCCATCCATCCATCCATCCATTCACCCTCTCCATACCTGGAATGCGTAGGGGGTGTCGTCGACACAGTACACTCTGAGGCTGTATCCCAGTGGATTGGTGTTGTCTGCACTACCGAACACTGCCAACCTCAGTCTCTTCACCGCCTCCTGGCTCAGAGGCTCCCCCACCAGGGCGTAGCGCCCTGGATGCTCCAACAGCAGGTGGCAGCACTGAGCCTCCAGCAGACAGTAGCAGGAAGTGCTCTCCTCCTCCACCGACATCACTTCCTGTGGGAGAGGAAGAGAGAAGAAAAAAGGAGTTAGGGCGGGTTATGGCCTTAAGATGATGGTTTTTAACGTGGAAAATGGCTGGGGACAGATAGAGAAGCAATCAGCGCATTTGGCATCGTGAACAGTAACGTGATTACCACACAACCGTATGCATAGGTCATTTCTCCTTCATTCTGTGCTCAATTCCCCTCCTAAATCACCTACTGCACCATCCCAGTGACCCTGTGGCCCTCTGCACTAAGCTTATAAGGCATGGTTAAACCATATAAAGCCAGGCTATATAATATAGTAATGTAATCCCCTGGCCTAGATGCAACACCTGGCACATTAGCTGCAGCAGACATGAGGAATCTACTTTTTATATAGCTCATCCTCACCAGACAGGCAGGCAGAGGAAAAAATGATGGAGTCAAACACCCCAAAAGCTAAGCAGCTTTAAGGGCAATGTGTGTGTGAGTGTGAGTGTGTGAGAGAGAGAGAGATGCCTTCCATCTCTGGTAATGTCACTAATTCCAGCGATGGTTCACATTTGAAGAGGCTGGCCTGGCATTCTGCCTGAGATAAAGGGCTCATTATTTCACAGTAATGGTGACAGGTTGCGCCATGGCTCCTTCACACGGGCAAGATGAAGGAGGCCTCTCTCTCTCTTTCTCTCATCTCTGTCTTTCTCACTTTCTCAATTTATTTCAATTCAATTACCAATTTCTCTCTCTTTCTTCACCTTCTCTCTCCCATTCTCTCTGTCTTTAAACATCTCTCTCCCTCTTTCTTCTTTATCCCCACTTTTCTCTTTTTCTCTTCCCCCTGCTCTCCCTCTCTCCCGTCAGCATATAACCCACAGCGCGCACACACTCATTCGTCGACTGGTCTTTGATAGCTGCCTTTTGTGCAGCAAGCGTCTCTCGCCAGCAAATTATATCCTGTGTAAATGTCACAGGCAGTGAATAGGCCAGGGTCTTGGACCGTCACAGGCTAACCGCAAGGCACAAAGAGCTCTGAGCTCTGGGGTCAACACTGCCTAGATGAGCTCCCGGTCACTCTCCGACACGCCTTTGATGAAGTAAGTTAAACATTAAAGGTCCAATGCAGCTATTTTATCTCAATATTAAATCATGTCTGGGCAACAATCAAGTACCTTACTGTGTTTGCAATCAAAATGGTAAAAAATAAACAAATACCTTGTTAGCAAAGAGTAATTTCTCAAGCAACAATTTTGCTAGGACTGTCTGGGAGTGGTCTGAGTGGGGAAAACAAACTGTTATTGGCAGAGAGATTTGGAACTCTTTCTTATTGGTCTATTAACTCATTTACCGCCTGGTGATGACACCAGGCAGGCCAAAACTCCATCCCACCAAAACAGGCTGAAATTGTAGGTGTTTATTTCAAACATCTCTTACACTAAAAAGGGCATTATCATAATTTTCACAATTTCACACTATAATTCATTTTGTTGTGTGTGTGTGTGTGTGTGTGTGTGGAGAAGATAGTTCTGGTCCCCTGCTGCTGTCCCTGCTCTTTGATGTGACCACAGAGGAAGAAGAAGGGATTGTTAATGGAGGAGAGGAATCTGATGAAGGGATTGTGGTGGAAGGGAGGTTTATGTAATGATGGGGTTCCACGCACACCCACACTCCCCTCTCAGCCGGTCTTTTCAAACAGCTCTTACACTAAAAGGGCATTATTGTAATTTTCACAATTTCACAAAATTATTCCAACCTCATAGTTTGGAAATATAAAACACAGGACAATCACGTTTTTGACTGCATTGGGCCTTTAAAAGAACATCGCTGATTCGTCTTCTGGGATGGATAGACAGGTGGATGGATCTAGAAAAATAGAGGGTGTGGATTGATGTCGGAGCTCAGAGCTTGAGAGAACGAGGGAGTCCCTCAGAATGAGAGAGAGAGAGTGGGAAGTTATAAGAGGCAGAGAGGCAGAGTTTTTTGAGAGGTTGGACGGACTTGAGCTTTCACTACTTTTCAAAGAAGTCCATGCTAACATGAGTGAGTGAAATAGTTCCTCCCAACTGGCAGCTCAATGAACCTCAGTGGAATAGAGGTTGAGAAGAGTATGAAGAACAGAATATGTAGAATTTAGATTATGTGATTGTATCTTATTCTCAGTTTCAGGTGAACACTGAAGATACCTGTTTTTTTTATATGGAACAAAGAAATCAAAATCAACTTATCTAGTATATATAGTATACAGTGCATTCGGAAAGTGTTCAGACTTTTTCCACATTTTGTTAAGTTACAGCCTTCTATAATTGATTTATTTCCCTCATCAATCTACACACAATACCCCATAATGACAAAGCAAAAATAGGTTTTTATAAATTTTAGCAAATGTATTACAAATAAAAAACTGAAATCACATTTACATAAGTATTCAGACCCTTTACTCAGTACTTTGTTGAAGCACCTTTGGCAGCGATTACAGCCTCGAGTCTTCGTGGGTATGACGCTACAAGCTTGGCACACAAGTATTTGGGGAGTTTCTCCCATTCTTCTCTACAGATCCTCTCAAGCTCTGTCAGATTGGATGGGGAGCGTCGCTGCACAGCTATTTTCAGGTCTCTCCAGAGATGTTCGATCGGGTTCAAGTCCGGGCTCTGGCTGGGCCACTCAAGGACATTCAGAGACTTGTCCCGAAGCCACTCCTGCGTTGTCTTGGCTGTGTGCTTAGGGTCGTTGTCCTGTTGGAAGGTGAACCTTCGCCCCAGTCTGAGGTCCTGAGCGCTCTGGAGCAGGTTTTCATCAAGGATCTCTCTGTACTTTGCTCCGGTCATCTTTCCCTCGATCCTGACTATTCTCCCAGTACCTGCCGCTGAAAAACAAACCCCATAGCATGATGCTGCCACCACCATGCTTCACCGTAGGGATGGTGCCAGGTTTCCTCCAGACGTGACGCTTGGCATTCAGGCCAAAGAGTTCAATCTTGGTTTCATCAGACCAGAGAATCTTGTTTCTCATGGTCTGAGAGTCCTTTAGGTGCCTTTTGGCAAACTCCAAGAGGGCTCTCATGTGCCTTTTACTGAGGAGTGGCTTCCGTCTGGACACTCTACCATAAAGGCCTGATTAGTGGAGTGCTGTAGAGATGGTTGTCCTTCTGGAAGGTTCTCTCATCTCCACAGAGGAACTCTGGAGCTCTGTCAGAGGGATGTAGCTCAGTTGGTAGAGCATGGCGTTTGCAACGCCAGGGTTGTGGGTTTGATTCCCACGGGGGGCCAGTATGAAAAAATAAATACATAAAAAATTAAAAATAATGTATGCACTCACTAACTGTAAGTCGCTCTGGATAAGAGCGTCTGCTAAATGACTAAAAATGTAAATGTAAATGTGACCATCAGGTTCTTGGTCACCTCCCTGACCAAGGCCGTTTCCCCCCGATTGCTCAGTTTGGCCGGGCTCTAGGAAGAGTTTTGGTGGTTCCAAACTTTTTAAATTTTTCCACTGTGTTCTTGGGGACCTTTCGATGCTGCAGAAATTTTTTGGTACCCTTCCCCAGATCTGTGCCTCGACACAATCCTGTCTCGGAGCTCTAAGGACAATTCCTTCGACCTCATGGCTTGGTGTTTGCTCTGACATGCATTGTCAACTGTGGGACTGAATTTACGACAGGTGGACTCCAATCAAGTTGTAGAAACATCTCAATGGAAACAGGATGGACCTGAGCTCAATTTCGAGTCTCATAGCAAAGGGTCTGAATACTTATGTAAATAAGGTATTTCTGAATTTTATTTGTAATAAATTTACCAACATTTCTAAAAACCAGTTTTTGCTTTGTCATTATGGGGTATTGTGTTTAGATTGATGAGGGGAAAAAAATAATTTAATCAATTTTAGAATAACACTGTAACATAACAAAATGTGGAAAAAGTCCAGGGGTCTGAATACTTTCTGAATGCACTGTATGGAAATGTTTCATTGGATGTGAGCATATTGGGTGACATTTTCCTTGCACATTATTAGCCCACGCAGAAAGCAAAATTGTGGAAAATAACCGTAACATTTTAAATAGATCCACATAATCCAAGGCCAGGTTTAATACAACGGCCAGTGTTTGCATCGTCTGGAACGCATTTTAATGTTGTTTACTTGAACTCCAGTTAAATAAGCTCATGGATATTATAAAAGGGAAGTTACAATATCAATTGTGAAATATACAGTGTCTTTTGCACAATTAAGTTTCTAAGAGAGAAAAATGTCACACTGTTCCTCTAAATGTTCTGAAATGTTTTCAGGATAATCTCACCTCCCACTTGTTATCCTGTGTCTGCCTCTTGAGACGGATGCTCCAGTTGTCGGCGGCAACCTCAGCGCAGTGGGCTATCGTCATGGCGACGGGGCAGGAGAGGTCAAGGCCCGGTGGACCGTACGTGACCTCTGGGCTCAGCAGGACCTCCTGGCTCTCTTCTGATAGGGTACTGCTGAAAACACACATACAGAAACATCAGGATGGGTTTAGACTCCAAACTATCCACAGACAGTGTACATGAGAGGAACATGAAAACCAGAGCAGGGCATGTTTCCTAAACAGTAGGCAATTGCTTTACATGAGCAAGAGGGGAAAAATACATATTGGCATATTGTCCCATTCTTGCGAACACAGAAACTTTGACGGGGCTGCCATCAGTCCAGAAGGGCTGCACTACTACACAGATCTTTACGGCCCAGCGTCCAATGAAAACTGATGTCTGCTTGACTTCATACTATTTGAGCCTCAACCATCCGTCAGTCCTGCTGCTGCAGGCCTGGGGGTCAATCTCACAGTGGGTAGAGTGGCCCTGCTATCCCCTGCTGTCACAGGGCCAAGCTGGTGTCCCCCGCCTAAGCCTGAGTGACAAGTCCGATTAGGGACTAGAGGCAGAATCAGAGGAGTGATTTCAGCTAAATTGATAAAATGGACGCTTTAATGAGGGGATCAGGACCACTGTGTGTTGGTGTTGAGTGAAACATCACAAACATCCAAATACTGACTGGCTGGAATAGGTCTGTTTGGGTACACAACCTGTTTTCAGGAGGCAACAAGTAGGCTAGCATTCTATTGTGTAGGGTAGGCTAACCATCAACTGGAAATAAAGACATATGCAAGCATATGACTGTGTTATATTGTTTTCTGAAACATCAGTTGAACACGATATGGGGTGAACATAGTGAGATCAACCTCGCTCGCCACAGGATTTTCACTCGGCTTTATCGTTATTTATTTTTCAGATAATTATCAGTGCCTATTGTCCAATTTGTCTCCATTGTTAAAATGAAAGCAAATCAGCAGCGAAACATTGACAGGGGTTATGATCTCTCATGTAAAAATACAGAATAAATAAGCCAACAGCAGTGAAAGCCTGCAGCTGTGCTGCATGTATGTGTGTGCATGTGCGCACGCATGTTTGTGTGTGTGTATGTTTGTTTGTGTGTGTGTGTGTGTGTGTGTGTGTGTGTGTGCTATGGTAATTAGGCCCAGTCACCATAGGAACGTCAAGGTTACCTGCATATTGGACTCTGATAATTAGCCTGAAGAGAGGAGAATAAAAACCATTTGCTTTTCAAAGAAAGCACGACTCAGAGCAAAGATAAAAAACTAGACATTTTTCATGGTTCTGGCTGAGTATCTCGGGAACAAAGATACATTATTTGTTCAATGGAATTAGTTTGAGAGGTGGATCAGTTAGGGCGACTTTGGGTTATTGATGTTTCAATAATGAATTAGTGTTTTCATGTTGGAATGATTTGACTGCACTCTGAGAGATGTTTGGAATTGTGATGCTGAGTGATATTTTATGGTCCACTGAAACTCTTATTCTAAAAACATGCAAACAAATAGACTAACATTTTTTTACGCTGAAATTAGCTTCGTAAACAAGATAAAAAGGTAAACAGAATAGTAACATGATTGCAAACAGAGAGAGGTTTGACTGAACGCCACCTGAAGTAACCCATAATCAACACTCCTTCTTTCACTCTCGATCTTACATCCCTCTACCGCAACTCCTCCTAACAACAATATCTCTCTCACACTTTCCCTTTCAAACCCTTTCACTCGATCTCTCATTCACACGCAGTCACCGATCGGATCTCTACAGAGATCTGCTGACCTTGTGTTAAGGCCACAGGCTGTACCGTGGTAGCATGACAAGTATCAAACAATAACTGCACTTCAAGGCACTAATACCCTGTGGGGGTTTTATTGTTTCATTTAGAAGAAAAAAAACATAACAACCTTGGATACTGTTCCCTATGGAGTTTCAGGCTTTCAGTGCACAACAAGACCTTGTTAGCTCGCTGAGCTGAAGCCAAGGCTTTAACACAGGGAGTTTTGAGCAAAGTGACTCATCAGATGAGGCTAGCTCCATGAACTACCTCTGCTACAAACACATGACATTAAAAACACTGAAGAACAGACACACTTTCTGTGTGTGTTCGGCATAAGGCTCCCCAACTCCTCTCAATACAAACTTTTCAACTCAACTTTGATGGTTAACTGTTCTCCTGATCTCTCAATAACATCTAATAACCCTCACCAAGGCCTTCAGACTGCAGTGTGGAGACTTCCCTAGAGAGGAAAAGCCTCTCATCTCAGTCTCCATACTGCAGCCGTCAAGGCTGAGCTGATTGATTCCTATTCTGCAGCCGAGTGGAGATCCACCGCCAACCGCCTCATGTAGTTGGATTCGTTCTGAAGTCTGAATAGGAAGAAAACATTTAATTTCTCCCAGGGTCTCTCCAAGTGCTTGTCAAAAGATTGTGATTGACAGCTCAATGGTGCGCTGCCCCCCAGGCAAGCAGCCAGCCTTATCAGGACCAGGCAGAAACCTAAAGGTGTGGGCTCAGGGAGATCAAGGAGTGTTTAAAGTAGCGCACACCTCACAGGACAGACACAGGCAGTCCACCCCTAAACTCTGAGGCGTAAACTATAGGTGACCTTTGATGATTATCTTTACCCTCGCTACCCAGAAGCCTCTGGGGTGCTCTGAGAAGGAGGAAGGAGGAGGGAGGTGAAATGGATTGTAGCCACATTTGATGCCATGCAAGTGACAATCAATGTCACATATTTCAACTCCTTGAGAAGTCGAAATGTCATTTCCTTGATGGGACCAGCTGTGGTTAACCAGGTTGTCATGGGTGATAAGTTGTTGGGATGGTTTCATCCAGATGTGTTTGAGATATTAGAAATGTTTGGTCTGCAAAGCAATCACAAACAAACAGATCCAAAAAGACTGACTCATGGTGGCGAGATGACTTTTTTCCGAGAGGCTTCAAGAAGTTAACAGTATTACATTTCTTGTGAACGTGTTTTATACGTCGTGCCATTTTCGCCTTGAGTAATAGCCTGGTGAAAGTCTTGACAGCTAGGTCACGGCAATTGGCTCTCCACAGCAGGCAATAGTTACCTAGACTCTCTCTTTGTCTGTCTTATTCTATCTGACAAACGATGGCAGATAGCCTTAACACTGAAGACTTTTTAATATTCACAGCTTTAACCAGTCGCACAGGAAGGAGGGGGCTGAGCCAGTTGTTGAGCCAGTTGCTCAGGGCCATGCTGCAACTGCCAGCCTCTTCCTGAGTGTGCAAGATGAGCTAAGGCCGCATGCTGGGCGGAGTGTACAGTGGTTCCTCAATTAAAAGTTGAGGTTATGTCGCAGTGCATTGAGGTACATTATGGTATATAGTACGGTATATTGTGTCACCGCAAGGGGGAGTTAGAATGCTGATTATGCTTTTGGGTTCGGTGTAAATCGTTGGTACCCAGGCGCTAATGTGTCTCTTGATGAATTGATGAATGGGTGATAGAAACCAGATAGAAACTGATAATTGTACACAACTTAATGATTAGGATGAAGAATGGCGCAGCCATATAGCCTCGGCTACTAAGCACAGATAAATACAACTCAAAACATGCTATTCTGTTCTTTTATAAATACATTATCTTAGTATCATGTTTTTTATGACCTTCCTTAAATGAAAGCCTCATATAAAGCAGACAATTCGGTCTTGCAGTGAGGGGCGCAGAGAAATAAATAACATTTAATTGGTAGCAGGCCGAATGTTGATTCTATCTCAACCAATTAAAATATTTATACATTTTCCAACTGTGTATATTCTATTAGGCCTATAGGCATTAACCAATGTTCTCTAGAGACACACAGGTTCAAGCAATTTGAAGAACTCCAAATGAAATCCAAATGCAAACTTCATAAGTAAATTATCAAATTCAAGCAATTTTGATCTGTGGCTACTGTCTCTGGCTGTCGGGAGACAAATCCATGGAGACTGTGCCACAAAATGAGTGACAAAACATTACAATAACTTAATATAGCTCTATGCTGCAAAATAGCCTTCTAAATAGGCCAAGCCTTCAATAGTAACTTTGTCGTTGGTTTCTGAAGAGTTCAGCTCATCCACTCAAGCAGGCACACAGACTCACTAATGTATGGCTGAGTCTGTGTGCCTCACTCATTACCGAATAGATAGCAACAATAGAAAGAAGCATCTGGTGGCTTTAAAACTAAAATAATCGCATTCAACTATAAGGTCAAAACACATCGACTCCTATCGATTTACAGCATTTCCCTTATTCAGACAACAACAAATGTGCAATTAGCCCAATTAACGGGAGGGATAAGGGCATCTTCTTGTTGTGTGCGGTGCTCAAGCTTATAACAGCTGTCAGTCAAAACCCATACAGCGCTGTGAACCGGAGAACGGGCTACAATGAAAATAATCGTAAATAAAGTCCAGGATATAATATCAACAAGAGAATAGAGAATGGATCGAGTCACATTTGAATTGAAAGTACCAGATTTAATTGCATTTTAAATGGCCAATATTTCATACAATATTCTGCCAATATTGAAACTCGGCTTGCTTGATCTTCTTCCTTTTTTTCTTCCTATAGGCCTACAATGAAATATATAATTCAATTGTAATCATGAAGTGTAGATGTTCTCAAAGATGCCCTCTGGTGGGCATTAATGGCACTGTACCATACCACGTATGGTATGTAACGCACTGTACCATACCATGGCATACCGCATGCTATACCATAGTATGGAGCAACACTGTATGTGTGTGTGTTTGTGTGTGTCTGTGTCAGTGAGTGAGTGAGCGAGCAAGCATGTGTGTGTGTGCTTGCATACACCCGTGCGTGTGTTTATTTGTAACTGTGGGTGTTAATAAGTGGGAGAGATAGCGTGAGAAATAGGGAAAACAGGATGAGAGATGGAGTGAGATGAAGTGGTAGAATGAAAGAGAGAGAGCGATAAGAGGTAGGAAGGGAGGCAGGCAGCCTGGTTCTCTGTGCCATATCTGTGTGTCGTGTCTCACCTGCTGCTGTTCTCCTGGTTGATGACCATGTACATTTCCCAGGTAGTGTCCTCAGCTATCCCCCCATGGGGCACCAACAGACTCACGCCTACACACACAGAGAGAGAGAGAGGAACAGAGGAGATGAGCAAGAGATACGCATGCACACATATGTACATGCACACACACGCACACAGACACACACACTACGCTCTCACTCATCCACACACACTGCCCCACATTGATGTCTCCTGTCCTTTGTGACACTTTAATCTACTGGCAGGTTAGATTGGCACTCTAGAGAGGAATTGTTTGTGGGCTCCAGTGGTAGTGTGTGTGTGTGTGTGTATGTGTGTGTGTGGTGCACTGTTGGCAACATTGATTTGAGAGCCCCAGAGGCCCTGACTGGCCTTTCTGGCTGTCACCTGCACTAAATAGACCTGACAGCCCAGCAGTGTGTGTGTGCGCGCGTGAGTGTGTGTGCATATATGTGTGTGCGTACGTGTGTATATGTGTATGTATCTTGTGATCATCTCCTCTGTGCGTGTGTGTGCCTCTATGTATGTGGTATGTGGACCTGTGTGTGTGGAAGCCTTCAAACATCCATGCCTGTGTATGCTTGCGTTTGCATGTGTACATGTGTGTGTTAGCATGTGTATGAGTGTGCTACATCGCCCTTACGAACCACAACCCTCACCTGTATTGGGGACCACCAGCCTCCCTCCCGCGTGTCCGAACACCCCGGCCGTCCTGAGTGGGGGCCTGGAGGGCGTAGACGGTGCATGGGGGGCGAGGAGGCTCTTCTCCCTCCTTCCTCTCAGGGTCCCCTCCACCCCCACACCGCTGTAGTCGGGCGCCAGCCCCCGGGGGAAGGTCTGGGGGTGGGCTTTCTGGGTGTGGTACTCGGCCCCCCTCTCTGACACTCCCAGGGACACCATGAAAGAGGAGTGAACTTTGACCTTGAGGTCGGGCAGGGGGTCGAAGAGCGAAGGCTCCTGGGAAATTAGTTCTTTATCCATGGAATCCTGGAAGCAGATGGGGCTGGTGTAGGTCCGTGACACCGTTAGGTCTGGCTGCAGGGATGAGTTGATCAACAGGGGGTTGCCTGGAAAAGAGAGAATACATGATTGGTTGATTGGTTAATTTATTTGTTGGATGATTGGTTGGTTGATTAGTTAATTGACAGACAAAAATATATGGACAATGTGTTTGATGACCTCTAGTCACAAACTGATCCCTAGCTATGATCACTGATGACCCCCATTGGCTCTGAAAGGACTGGATTGACAAATAAATATAATATATCTTAAATTGCAATAAAGTGTAACTAAAAACTAAACAAAACAAAACAAAAAAATATAGAGAACATAGTATAATGGAGATGTTCTGTTTTCCATGTTTTGGTTCAATGCAGCTGAGTCTCAGTGAACATGATAAAGGATATGTGGTGTATGGAAAACGCCATCTATCATATCAGGGGGCTATTTGGAGCTAGATACTGCAGGACTGGGATTTAGGAAAGAGAGTCCTGGAAAGAAAAGTCCCAGAGGAGTCAGATACTGTACTTCTCCCAGAAAACACATCTGCTTAACAGACTGGTAGTGTATTCAACACTTCAACATGGTCCAGTGCAGTCGTGTTTTCTGTAGTGTCATCATGTAAATAGCTTTTTTTTTTTTTTTTCTTTGTCTTTTTCGTATATATTTCTCAATCTCACTTTCCATCCTTTAACTAAATATACTTTCCTGCAACCCGCCTCACCCAATGTGGAACGGATTTTATTATTTCTTTATACAACAACTTTTTATCTAGAACCTCCGGCTGAAACTAGCCAGCTAACTAGCTACAGTGGGGAAAAAAAGTATTTAGTCAGCCACCAATTGTGCAAGTTCTCCCACTTAAAAAGATGAGAGAGGCCTGTAATTTTCATCATAGGTACACGTCAACTATGACAGACAAAATGAGAAAAATAAATCCAGAAAATCACATTGTAGGATTTTTTATGAATTTATTTGCAAATTATGGTGGTGGAAAATAAGTATTTGGTCAATAACAAAAGTTTCTCAATACTTTGTTATATACCCTTTGTTGGCAATGACACAGGTCAAACGTTTTCTGTAAGTCTTCACAAGGTTTTCACACACTGTTGCTGGTATTTTGGCCCATTCCTCCATGCAGATCTCCTCTAGAGCAGTGATGTTTTGGGGCTGTCGCTGGGCAACACTGACTTTCAACTCCCTCCAAAGATTTTCTATGGGGTTGAGATCTGGAGACTGGCTAGGCCACTCCAGGACCTTGAAATGCTTCTTACGATGCCACTCCTTCGTTGCCCGGGCGGTGTGTTTGAGATCATTGTCATGCTGAAAGACCCAGCCACGTTTCATCTTCAATGCCCTTGCTGATGGAAGGAGGTTTTCACTCAAAATCTCACGATACATGGCCCCATTCATTCTTTCCTTTACACGGATCAGTCGTCCTGGTCCCTTTGCAGAAAAACAGCCCCAAAGCATGATGTTTCCACCCCCATGCTTCACAGTAGGTATGGTGTTCTTTGGATGCAACTCAGCATTCTTTGTCCTCCAAACACGACGAGTTGAGTTTTTACCAAAAAGTTCTATTTTGGTTTCATCTGACCATATGACATTCTCACAATCCTCTTCTGGATCATCCAAATGCACTCTAGCAAACTTCAGACGGGCCTGGACATGTACTGGCTTAAGCAGGGGGACACGTCTGGCACTGCAGGATTTGAGTCCCTGGCGGCGTAGTGTGTTACTGATGGTAGGCTTTGTTACTTTGGTCCGAGCTCTCTGCAGGTCATTCACTAGGTCCCTCCGTGTGGTTCTGGGATTTTGGCTCACCGTTCTTGTGATCATTTTGACCCCACGGGGTGAGATCTTGCGTGGAGCCCCAGATCAAGGGAGATTATCAGTGGTCTTGTATGTCTTCCATTTCCTAATAATTGCTCCCACAGTTGATTTCTTCAAACCAAGCTGCTTACCTATTGCAGATTCAGTCTTCCCAGCCTGGTGCAGGTCTACAATTTTGTTTCTGGTGTCCTTTGACAGCTCTTTGGTCTTGGCCATAGTGGAGTTTGGAGTGTGACTGTTTGAGGTTGTGGACAGGTGTCTTTTATACTGATAACAAGTTCAAACAGGTGCCATTAATACAGGTAACGAGTGAAGGACAGAGGAGCCTCTTAAAGAAGAAGTTACAGGTCTGTGAGAGCCAGAAATCTTGCTTGTTTGTAGGTGACCAAATACTTATTTTCCACCATAATTTGCAAATAAATTCATAAAAAATCCTACAATGTGATTTTCTGGATTTTTTCTCTCTCAATTTGTCTGTCATAGATGACGTGTAACTATGATGAAAATTACAGGCCTCTCTCATCTTTTTAAGTGGGAGAACTTGCACAATTGGTGGCTGACTAAATACTTTTTTCCCCCACTGTACTTGCTATTAGCCACCGTTAGCGGTCTTCACCATTGTCCGTGGCCTGCACTACCTACCAGCCAGCTCTAGCCTGGACAATTATCGGCCAGTCTGCACATCGCGCTATCGAGCCAGAGCATATGGATTTTCTGCCGGAATCACTGAATCACTGGACCTTAACACCAGATCATCGCAACTAGCTAGCTGCAACCGAATGGCTGTTGTTGTTGTTGGCTAATCACCACTGTCCCGAAGCAAGCCCCAGTTAGCCTTGAGCTAGCCTCGAGCCAGGCCCATCTCCCGGCTATCTACCTCTCTGTCAACCGGACGGGACCTCCTAGTGTTGACACAGAGCCCCGCCGATCCATCACGACTGGTCTGCCGACGTAATCGTCTGATGTGGTTTCAACAGGCTTCCCGTTGCGACGACCATGAAGATCCATCTGCTAGCCCCGGCCCGCTAGCACACGCAATCAACAGCCGTGCCTCCTGCTCGCCTGTGCCGTAGCAGCCACTGAACTGCTCCCGGACACACCTATTGCTGTTCACTGGACCTTATGATCACTCAGCTACACAGCTGATGCCTGCTGGACTGTTCCTTTATACGGTACCCCATCCTGTTTATCTGTTTAGCCTCAGCTCAAACGTTCGTCGCCATTCCCAGCTGTTGTCTTAGCTCTCTCGAATAACACCTGTGATTGCTTTATGCCTCTCTCCCATGTCAATATGCCTTGCCTATTGCTGTTTCGGTTAGTTCTTACTGTACTTTGTCACTGTAGAGCCCCCAGTCCCGCTCAACCTGCCTCAGATAGCTCCTTTGTCCCACCCCCCACACGCGCGGAGACCAGCTCAATCGGTGCCTCCAGTGATGCAATCTCTTTCATCGTTACCCAACGCTTAGGCTTACCTCCACTATACTCCTATCCTTGTCTGTACATAATGCCCTGAATCTATTCTACAACGCCCGGAAATCTGCCCCTTTTACTCTCTGTACCCAACGCACTAGAAGACCAGTTCTTAAAGCCTTTAGCCGTATCCTTATTCTATTCCTCCTCTGTTCCTCTGGTGATGTAGAGGTTAACCCAGGCCCTGTAGCCCTCAGTATCACTCCTACTCCCCAGGTGCTATCATTTGTTGACTTCTGTAACCGCAAAAGCCTTGGTTTCTTGCATGTTAACATCAGAAGCCTCCTCCCTAAGTTTGAGTTACTTACTGCGTTAGCACACTTCGCCAACCCTGATGTTCTAGCAGTGTCTGAATCCTGGCTTAAGAAGGCCACCAAAGATTCAGAAATGTACATTCCCAACTACAACATTGTCCGTCTAGATAAAACTGCCAAAGGGGGTGGTTGCAATCTACTGTAGAGATCATACTATCCAGGTCTGTGCCCAAACAGTTTGAGCTCCTACTTCTAAAAATCCACCTTTCCAGAAATAAGTCTCTCACTGTTGCCGCTTGCTACAGACCCCCCTCAGCCCGCAGCTGTGCCCTGGACACCATATGTGAATTGACTGCCCCCCATCTATCCTCAGAGTTCGTATTGCTTGGTGATCTAAACTGGGATATGCTTAACATCCCGGCCGTCCTGCAATCTAAACTAGATGCCCTCAATCTCACACAAATTATCAAGGAACCTACCAGGTACAACCCTAAAACCGTAAACATGGGCACCCATAGATATCATCCTGACTAACTTACCCTCTAAATACACCTCCGCTGTCTTCAACCAGGATCTCAGCGATCACTGCCTCATTGCCTGCGTCCGTAATGGGTCCGCGGCCAAACGACCACCCCTAATCACTGTCAAACACTCCCTAAAACACTTCAGCGAGCAGGCCTTTCTAATTGACCTGGCCCAGGTATCCTGGATGTATCCTTGACTGCCCTTGACCAGCACAAAAACATCCTGTGGCGTACTGCATTAGCATCGAACAGCCCCCACGATATGCAACTTTTCAGGGAAGTCAGGTACCAATATACACAATCAGTTAGGAAAGCAAAGGCTAGCTTTGTCAAACAGAAATGTGCATCCTGTAACTGTAAAGTCCATGGAGAATAAGAGCACCTCCTCCCAGCTGCCCACTGCACTGAGGCTAGGAAACACTGTCACTACCGATAAATCTACGATAATCGAAAATTTCAACAAGCATTTTGCTATGGCTGGCCATGCTTTCCACCTGACTACCCCTACCCCGGCCACCAGCTCTGCACCCTCCGCTGCAACTTGCCCATGCCCCCCCGCTTCTCCTTCACCCAAATTCAGATAGTTGATGTTCTGAAAGAGCTGCACAATCTGGACCCCTACAAATCAGCTGGGCTAGACAATCTGGAACCTTTCTTTCTAAAATTAGCCGCCGAAATTGTCGCAACCCCTATTACCAGCCTGTTCAACCTCTCTTTCGTATCGTCTGAGATCCCCAGAGATTGGAAAGCTGCCGCGGTCATCCCCCTCTTCAAAGGGGGTGTCACTCTAGATCCAAACTGTTACAGACCTATATCCATCCTGCCCTGCCTTTCGAAAGTATTTGAAAGCCAAGTTAACAAACAGATCACCAACCATTTCGAATCCCACCGTACCTTCTCCGCTATGCAATCGGGTTTCCGAGCTGGTCATGGGTGCACCTCAGCCACGCTCATGGTCCTAAACAATTTTATAACCGCGATCGATAAAAGACAATACTGTGCAGCCGTCTTCATCGACCTGGCCAAGGCTTTCGACTCTGTCAATCACTGCATTCTTATTGGCAGACTAAATAGCCTTGGTTTCTCAAATGACTGCCTCGCCTGGTTCACCAACTACTTCTCAGATAGAGTTCAATGTGTCAAATCGGAGGGCCTGTTGTCTGGACCTCTGGCAGTCTCTATGGGGGTGTCACAGGGTTCAATTCTCGGGCCGACTCTATTCTCTGTGTATATCAATGATGTCGCTCTTGCTGCTGGTGACTCTCAGATCCACCTCCACGCAGACGACACCATTTTGTATACATCTGGCCCTTCATTGGACACTGTGTTAACAAACCTCCAAACGAGCTTCAATGCCATACAACACTCCTTCCGTAGCCTCCAACTGCTCTTAAATGCTAGTAAAACTAAATGCATGCTCTTCATTCGAACGCTGCTTGCACCCACCCGCCCGACTAGAATCACTACTCTCGGCGGGTCTGACTTAGAATATGTGGACAACTACAAATACCTAGGTGTCTGGTTAGACCGTAAACTCTCCTTCCAGACTCACATTAAGCATCTCCAATCCAAAGTTAAATCTAGAATCAGCTTCCTATTTCGCAACAAAGCCTCCTTCACTCATGCTGCCAAACATGCCCACGTAAAACTGACTATTCTACCGATCCTTGACTTCGGCGATGTCATTTACAAAATAGCCTCCAACACTCTACTCAGCAAATTGGATGTAGTCTATCACACTGCCATCCGTTTTGTCACCAAAGGCCCATATACTACCCACCATTGTGACCTGTACGCTCTCGTTGGCTGGCCCTCACTACATATTCGTCGCCAAACCCACTGGCTCCAGGTCGTCTATACATCTCTGCTAGGCAAATCCCCGCCTTATCTTAGCTCATTGGTCACCATAGCAACACCCACCCGTAGTATGCGCTCCAGCAGGTATATCTCACTGGTCATCCCCAAAGCCAACACCTCCTTTGGCCGCCATTCCCTCCAGTTCTCTGCTGCTAATGACTGAAAAGAACTGCAAAAATCTCTGAAGCTGGAGACTCTTATCTCCCTCACTAACTGTAAGCATCAGTTGTCAGAGCAGCTTACCGATCACTGCACCCGTACACAGCCCATCTGTAATTAGCCCACCCAACTACCTCATCCCCATATTGTTATTTATTTTGCTCATTTGCACCCCAGTATCTCTATTTGCACATCATCTTCTGAACATCTATCACTCCAGTGTTAATACTACATTTTAATTATTTTGCACTATGGCCTATTTATTGCCTTACCTCCATAACTTACTACATTTGCACACACTGTATATATATTTTCTATTGTGTTATTGACTGTATGTTTTGTTTATCCCATATGTAACTCTGTGTTGTTGTTGTTTTTATCGCACTGCTTTGCTTTATCTTGGCCAGGTCGCAGTTGTAAATGAGAACTTGTTCTCAACTGGCCTACCTGGTTAAATAAAGGTGAAAAACAACAACAACAAAAAAAATCGTTAGACTCGGTGGCGAGAGAAATGCTGCCGTGTCTAAGTGTAGTAAAGGCTACATAAAGGGTACATAAACGTTGGGATGGATTAAAACAAACGATTAATGATTGGAGGGAGGACACTGGATTTATCATGATCATGTTTTGTTTGTCATTCAAACTTCTGTGTTGCTGATTAAGATGTAGCATAGTGAATACTAACGAGATGTACACTTTCTCTACCAGGAGAGGTTGGGGTGTCCTTACGTCTCTCTTTGAAATGTTTCCCGAGACTTTTGTGAAATTCTGCAGTTTTATAAAGTATAATGTTATCCGGATCCGGCCGTAGAGGGAGCTCCCAGATAAGTAAGGCCTGGCCAAATGTTAGTTTTTTACCCTACGTTTTACCACACACACCAGCACACGCACACACAACCCACTGGTTATGAATATTTGTTAGTGGTGTTAATACCGTGTTTGATTTATTGTGTGGGGTCTTTTTAATTTGGTTGTAAAGTGGGTACGCAGAATGATGGAAATGTTAGAAAAAATAAAATGGTTTCTGAAGTACAGGGAAAGAAAAGGGAAAGAAAATACTTTAATGGTGTTGAATGACCTTTGTCCTGACTTTCTGTTGAGGCCTGATCAACCTCACTAGAAAGGATAGAGACATTGGGGGACATTTGAGTATAATATGAAGAAGTGTTTTTGTTTCAATACACATCTCACCAGATTGGGTCTGCTGTATGGTCGGGTTTTCTCCCTAAGGGTTAGCTCTCTAACTCCCTGAACCGGTAACTCTGCGGGGAGGTCGCCAATATGATAGGGGAGTATAAGCCAATTTGGAAAAGGGTTTCAACAGGGTGTTGGTGTGGTTTGATATTTGTCTTAGGAATTTTGTACTAAGAAAATTAGGAAGGTAATAATTTGTCATATGGTAAATAGTCGTTTGGATTTTCTGAATCAGAAATGCCTTAAACTGTTCTTTTGGTCTGTCCTCTCTCGAAGTTATGGCGATAGTGACTACAGATGGTATCTATATGCATGGAAGGAATAATACGACGAGAACAGTGTGAGCTTCACCCCTCCTAACCGGCTGAAGTAATGGCGTTCACTACATTTACATTTTAGTCATTTAGCGGACGCTCTTATCCAGAGCGACTTACAGTTAGTGAATGCATACATGTTTTTTTTTTTTTTTGGTTTGTTTTCATACTGGCCCCCCGTGGGAAACGAACCCACATCCCTGCCGGCCAAACCCTCCCCTACCTTGGACGACGCTGGACCAATTCTGGGTCTGCCGGTCGCGGTCCTGCACCACTTCTACTGAGTCTGAGCCAGCAACCTGTGTACGAGCGGCAGGAGTGCGGCATGAGTCCTGAGACCGTGCATGTGGAGTGAGCATGGAGAGGTACCACGTTCAAACTCCTCTCAAGATGAGTGCCGGGAAGGAGTGGGGTGGTCAACCGTGCCTGTAAATTGATTTAGGGTTGCCCTAAACTGTTTATCTGTGTCACGCCCTGGCTCTGGGGACTATTAAATGTTGAGCCAGGGTGTGGATTTTCTATGTTATAGTTTTCTATGTTTTTGTTCTAGATCGTTTAGATCTATGTTGGCCAGGGTGGTTCCCAATCAGAGGCAGCTGTAGCTCGTTGTCTCTGATTGGGGACCATACTTAGGCAGCCTGTTTTCACTAGTTTATTGTGGGATCTTGTTCCGTAAGGTTTTGTATATAACCTAGGACTTCACATATCGTTTTGTTGTTTTGTTCGTGTGTTGTGTACGAAATAAAATGTACGCTTATCACGCTGTGCCTTGGTCCGTCTCATCTAATAACGAGCGTGACAATCTGGGGTATCAGGTTGATTGAAAGTATCTTGAAAATTCCAAAAACAAATATTTTCTATATAAAATTGCCCTAAATGTACATTTTAAACTCAAATAATGCAACAAAATACAAATGTTCAACTACAAAAATAAAGTTTCCCTGCCGGCCACAAGGATTGTCCTGACTTTCAAGAATCCTTGAGGCTGAGAGAAAATGTTGCAGTTTTCAAGCAAATTTCCTGTAATAAAGAAAAAGTCATTCATGGCTTATGAGGTGTTCAAATCCTTTCTGGGGGGCCTGACCTCCGGGAGGAACCCCAACGCCAGTGTCTACTGACCGTTGGAGATGTTTGAGTAGCCACTACTCAATTTCTTTAATGAGTTAGGCAGTTACTTTTTACAGTGTGTGTGTGTATTTCTCCAATTCTCTGGGAGGACAGAGGCCCAAATAAGGGATCATAGCTTTCACCTGGATTCATCTGGTCAGTCTATGTCATTGAAAGAGTTCCTAATGTTTTGTACACTCAGTGTAGAGCAGATAGATAGAGGTAACTGCCAAAATAATAGAAACACTTGAGTGAATGAGGGGTACAAAGTATATTGAAAACAGGTGCTTCCACACAGGTGTGGTTCCTGAGTTAATTAGGCAATTAACATCCTATCATGCTTAGAGTCATGTATACAAATGCTGGGTAGGCCATTATTGTGTCTACCATGGCTATGCTCCCATAGGATGACAATGCCCCTATCCACAGGGCATGAGTGGTCACTGAATGGTTTGATGAGCATGAAAACGATGTAAACCATATGCCATGGCCGTCTCAGTCACGAGATCTCAACCCAATTGAACACTTATGGGAGATTCTGGAGTGGCGCCTGAGACAGCGTTTTCCTCCACCATCAACACCATGGGGGTGCTGAACGGTGGAGGGGAGGTGTGTGTGTTTGTGTGTGTTTGTGTGTGTGTTTGTGGTGTGTGTGTGTGTGTGAGTGAGTGAGTGAGTGAGTGAGTGAGTGAGTGAGTGATTGTTTGGAAGAGAGAGTGAGACCATGAGAAATGAGAGCTGTGTCTGGTCTCTGCTCCTCTCCACTCCAGACAGGATGAGAGACAGAAAGCGAGAGTGAGCGATAGAGGGAGAGAGACAGAGAGACAGATAAGTTAGACAGTGCTGACACCACCCTACTGTGTCACTGAGCAAACCAAACACAACCTTGCTGTTGGACACAAGGACTTTTTAAAATGAAGTAGTTAAACACACCACCAAGGACAGTCAGTCACACACACTGAGCTTCTGTTGGACCACAGCAATGTGTGTCTTCAGCAGTGTAAGTGTGTGTGCCTTTCTGCTTCAACTTGGTGTGTGTATGTGTGTGTGTGCCCCTCCCTGCCTCATCTTATCCAAAGGTAATGTGTGTTCAGCTGTGTGTGTGTGTGTCTGTCTGTGTGTGTTCTCTGAGCTCACCTTGGCAGGTGGTCTTGAAGCTAAAGGACTGAAAGCCACCAGTGAGGGCGGAGGAGTCAATGACGTCCACACCGTACTCGCTCTGGTTCCTCCGGTAGAGGGTCACCGCCACAATCAACACCACCACAGTCACCACCCCCGCCGCCAGGCCCGAATACAGCGCTACGTCACTGCTACCCTCCAGACCTGGGGGAGAGAGAGGGAGAGAAACTTTAATCAAAGTATAAACATCAGAGAAAGAGAAAAGGTATCAACTCAGAGCTATATTCAGAGTAGAATTCAGTAGGTAATAGTATGATATGTTATATGAGCCCAATGATGGAAGGGTCAAGTCAAGTGGCATCTAGATTTTTTGCTATACTGGCCAGACCAACACAACTTTCACTGCTGTACAAAGTTTGCCCCTCATTTTAAAATACATTTAATTAAAATGCTTTGGGAGAGGCACAGTAAAGTCATGTTTACCCGAAACTTCCACAGTAACATCTCTAAAATGCACTTCTCCTGAAAAGGTTCTACTGAAAAAACTCTAGCAGGAGTTTTTTTTAGGGCAGAAACATTCCAGGTTTCAACCTGCTTCCTTCTGTGGCTTTATTGTTCTCCATTTCCTGTCTCCTCACTCCGCTGTGGTGCGGTATTTCCTCCCACTGCATCCTGTTAACGCACTAATGAGGAAGTTGTCCTAATCACCCCAGCACCTGACTGGTGTGTCAGACACACACACCCACACATGCACACACACGCACACAACTAAGATTCTAATCAAGCCCAGCACCTGACTGTCATCTCAAAGGGCTGTTAGTCTCTGGCATCACTCGGAAGGCCCTCTGCGTTCTACTGGGATATTGTGTAGGGCGTTCACTCACTGCTATAGAATATAGAGAAAGACGGGGCAATTCAAGAGGGTGCTATGAAATTATGTCAAAACTTCATTTTCTTTGCCCTATGTCATTATAAATAACATAGCATTAATCCTTATATTGTTCTCTACAATATTATAACCTTAATATACTTGTACTTGACAGTGTTGATGAAATAAGAACGTTAATTTGCTGTGACTGTTGCTAGTTTAGACCATGCCGCTCTTGGTTGTAGCTCTTCCATATTTGGCGTTGGGAGGTTGTACCATTTGGAGGTGTTTCCGCGGGTTGGACCAATCAAAATCAACTTGATACCCTCATCTCCAGATCCTTGGCTTTCATTGACATTAATTCGCTATATTGGCGATCAGTCTACATTGAGAGGGGCCATTTCAATGGTGATATAAAGGGAAAGAATCAGAAATACACAATGAAAACAGGAACAGATTGTCTTCACGGAGGGAGGATATTGAAATTCAGTCTATTAGCTTTGTAAATAAATATATATTTTGTTCCTATTTTGTTTTGTATTCCGCTGATTTCATTTAGAAAAAGTCCATGTTTTCACTCACAAACCTGCAGGCACTAGTTAGCTTGTCAGGTGATGTTCGAAGTAAGCGCCGTTCTGCCACCGGCGCAGCGCAGCACCACAGAGTTCTAATGAGCAGTGAACACTTTTTGATCATGCCCGTGATGACATTCCATTCACTCTAAACATGCTAAATTCTCAGAGTAAATCATCTAATTTTTTAACCATATATGGTAGAGACATACGGTTTGGACTATTGTTTTTCTGACGCAATTCACTATTGATTTGTATAAACCTTGAATGAATTAATCATTTTATGAGTGAACACCCTATATTGTGACAAGACCAGTTCATTAAATTAGCTAATCTGCAATGATTAAGTTGTATCTGGTCTCACCAGTACACCACAACAGATTTAAAAAAGTGTGTGTGTGTAAAGAAAAGGACTGCTGGCTTAGCTTGTTCTCCAAAGATAATGAGATCTGCACAGGAACAGGACTGAGAATATCGCTAAGTAGACTGAAGCTTCAAGAAAAGCAGCATTTGCCCAAATATGCAAAAGAGGCATTAGCAGCTAAACATGGCAGGTTAATTGGGGGCTCGCTAAATTTTGGCAGACTGGCTGCGTCTTTTTCCCTTACTCCCACGAAGAAGAAAAAAAGACAAAAACAATCTGAATGTGACAGTTGTGGTGTCACAAGTAATTGGCATTAAAATGGCATTTTATGATTAAGATAATCATTTTGAAGGTGTTCATCGTGAGAATAAGGTTTCTTGTATAGGTCGTTATCAATAAAACGTCACAATAAGGTGCAGAGCGTTCGATTTGCCTGCTGGGGGACAAGGAGATCCCAGCTCTGCTAAAACCATTGACAACTGAGTGCCGTTTTCAAGGGATTGTTAAATAAATGTTAACTATTTGGTTGTAATATCACCTCTTGAAAAGCATAGTCAGAAATACACATTTCCGATTTTTCCGTGCAAAACAATTGCGCACATTTAGCTCTATCATCAGAGTTATACAGCAAGTAACTGCATGCTTTTCATCATCAGTAAACATCAATTGATCATGTAATTTCAAATACGTGAGGGTAGCCTGACAATATCTCTCAATATTGGCCACCATTAACTGGATATTTGAGTGATATAAAATGAACTATACCTGAAGTATGAGTGGTTTAGGTTAATTTTGGTGATATGATCATTTTTGTGGGAATAATAGTTCTGGATCATGATGTTGGAGTTTTGGGTTGGAGAGTTGTATCTGTGAGTGGTGGCGTGACAACATATAAATGGTTGTTATAGCAGAGGAGTAGCAAATAGTGGTTTTCGTGTGTCACATTGTGTTCTAAAGTAGGATGGTGGTTGGGGAAAACTCACCCTGTGGCTTGGCGTCGTGTAGCAGCTTTCGATCTGCAAAGACACACAGACACCATGTCATTTCACTTCTACTTGAATGGAATACTACAGAATGTAACCTGCAGTTGTTTTCCAATGAGCACCCTTATGTGTGCGCATGTTCAAAATGTGTGTGTGTGTGTGGGCCCAGTGATAAGACTCTTTATGACACAGGGAGTGTATGGAGAGTGTGTGTGTGTGTGTGTGTGCACGTGTGTACATGCCCAAATGTGATTATGATCACAATGTGTGTGTCTCACGGTAGTGAGATTGGCTCGGTGATAGGACTTGAGGGATTGTATGGAGCGTGTGTCTGTGCGTGTGTGCATGTGTCTGTGTAAGTATGTGTGGAAATTGATGTGAAGATATTAAGGCTGATTGTCTTCCTGCATATGGGCATCAGAAGAATTAAGAAATAAGTATGGACTTCCATCCAGTGTGTGGATTACGGGGGGGTATGTGCTCATGAGACAAAGTTTGGGGGGGGGGGGGGGGGGGGGTTGGTCTCTAATTTAATCATTCTCCTATTCTCTCAGCTGTATTTGCGTCCCATATTTCAGCCCCTTTTCAGGTGTCCTGACAAAAAGGTCAATATGTCAGCAAAACAATTAATTCAGGCTACTAGAGTGTAGGCCTAATGAACATCACTCAATGTCATTACACTTTTTGGTGTTTTGTAACAAATGGGCACTGTTTGGATGATGAAATTATTTTGGAGTGGACTGTATTATGAACGTGTGCAGGTAGCCTACTTTTTGAAGTGACAATCAGATGACAAACATCATGACTGGTTGTGTTCATGCCACATTAAAAGGTAATACATTTTTACTGTTAAAATACGTCTTTACTTAGGCCCATAAAACATTTTCATACAAAAGAAAAAGAAAGTACCCTGAAAAAGACCCAGCCCCCGAATGTCACAATATAATTCAAACTCTGCTTCCATCCCATACTCTCAAAGCAACTGGCAGATACTGTATGTGGTTCACTGCTTATGGCATCACTAAGGAACTAAGGATGGATTTGTCCACAGCATTGCTGGTGCTGCAACTGGAAACGTGCCAGCCAACAGAAGACTACTTTGTCTTTGGCAATGTTTTAATTCTCAACAAAATAAGTGTGGTATTGATGATGATGATGATGATGATGATCCCAATGATGAACATTCTGACGATGATGGTGAAGATTATAATGAAGACAATATCTACCACCAGAGTTGTACCACCAGATGAAGCGGTATGTGACATTACTCACTCTGAGTGCAGAGGCCCCCGGTGCAGTTATCTGTTCCCAGGGCGGCCCCGTCACACAGACTGCCTCCATGTTTGGGCTCCGGGGCTGTACACTCTCTGCTGCGCTGTCTCACACACGCCGCACTGCACACCGTCCACTCTGTCCACTCTCCCCAGCCACCATCCACTGAGAGGGAAGAAAGGGTTAAAAAACATCCACACTCACACACACACACTCACATGCGCACACAGACACACACACACAGACACACAGGACCTTAGACCCAACTCATATAATAGATTCGCAGAGTTAGCAAACAGCTGAGTGGAACATAACTGCCCCACCCCATTACACCAGAATTACTCTACACAATTGGTTTATGGACCTTACTGATAGAGCACTTACAATGGACCAGCCCTAAAGCCCACCACACAAAACCCTCTCTTCTTTCTCTCCAGGGCCGACATTAGAAAAATACCATGTCATGTTCTATCCTGGTGCTGACTCAAGGCAGAAAATACAGTTTTCTTTTTGTCTTGTTCCATCAAGTCTCCTCTACCACCTTACCAATTCAATAGGTTTTCAAGGTTTCTCTCTGCCTTGCTAATCTAAATGCAAACGCTGTGTTTGCACGCAGGCTGAGACTCACAGAGAGAGAAAGTCTTGTGGAGGAGAGAGAGTCTCAAGTTCTACTGTCACATGCACAAGTACAGTGAAATGTCTTTCTTGCAAGCTCTTCCCAACAATGCAGTAATCAATGTCAGTAGTACTATAAAGTAAATTATAAACTGGGTGGTTCGAGCCCTGAATGCTGATTGGCTGACAGCCATGGTATATCAGACCGTATACCACAGGTATGACAAAACATTTATTTTTACTGCTCTAATTATGTTGGTAACCAGTTTATAATAGCAATAAGACACCTCGGAGGTTTGTGGTATATGGCCAATATACCACGGCTAAGGGCTGTATCCAGGCACTCTGCGTTGCATTGTGTGTAAGAACAGCCCTTAGCCGTGGTAAATTGGCAATATACCACACCTCCTCGTGCCTTATTGATTAAGTAGAACAAAAACACACGAGAAATAAGAGGAACACGAGAGAGTAAGTAAGCTATATACAGGGTCCGTTCCAGGATCAATGCCAATACCATATTTACAATGTGCAGGGATACTGGAGGGGTAGGGATAAATATGTATAGGGGTAAGGTGACTAGGCATCAGGATATATGATAAACAGAGTAGCAGCAGCATATATTATGATTGTTAGTGAGTGTGTGTAGAGTCAGTATGAATGTGTGTGCTTGTTGTGTGTGTGTGTGTGTGTGTGTGTGTGTGTGTGTGTTTGATTGAGTGAGTGTGCATAGAGTCGGTGCACATTTTTAAAATAAATATTAGGGTCAATGCAGAGTTAGCTATTTGCAGTCTTATGTCTTGGGGATAGAAGCTGTTCAGAAGCCTGTTGGTGTCAGACTTGTTCATCCGGTACCGTTGGCCGTGTGGAAGCAGAGAGAACAGTCTATGGCTTGGGTGGCTGGAGTCTTTAATAATTTTCCGGCCTTTCCTTTTAGACTGCATGATATTCTTTATCCATGTTCACACTCTTCTAATCTTCTCTCTCTCTCTCACTCACTCTCTCACTCTCTCACCCTACCTCTCTTGCCCTCTCTCTCTCCCTCCCTCTTCCCTATATCCTTTTCTGTCTCTCTCTCTGAGGGGAAAAATGGGGTCAGACGATGGGTTTATGAAAGCGGTTTGGAGGGAAATTACCATAACAGCAGTGGGGGAGCCCGCCTCCTCCTTGAAGAGGAGCGCTGTCATAATATAGATTGCTTGGTAAATAATGCAACCCCACAACAAAAATATCCCCCCTCCTAGACAGTCAGACTGTTGGATAGAATGAGAACAGACAGACAGATAGACAAGAAGCCTGCTAAACAGCCAGATAGCCAGATAGACAAACAGACCTGGGCAGAGGGCATTACAGGTACTCTTCTGGACAGACATGCCCTCGCAGAAGGTGCCCCCATTGAGAGGGGCGGGGTTGGTGCAGGTACGGGAGCGTTTCTGGACCCCCCGCCCACAGCGCACGTTACAGGTGGACCAGTCTGTCCACAATGACCACCCTCCGTTCACTGGAGAAATGGACAAAGGGGGAGAAGGAGGGAGGAAGTAGAGGGAGAGATGGAAAAGAAGCGAGGGAGATGGGAGAGGGGAGAAGGATAGAAGGAGAGAGAGTAGAAGAAGGAGAGAAAAAGAGAGAGGGGGAAAAAGGAGAGAAGCATGTAAAATGTAACATGACAGCAGAGTGAAGGAGGGAAGAGAAAAAAACCCCACACGCACAGGCTGACTGCCTAAAACACAGGAGTTCCACCTGGGCTAAACGTGAAAGGCCAAGAAACCAAAGGCATGTCAGAGAGGTGAAGCTCTCTCTCTCTCTCTCTCTCTCTCTCTCTCTCTCAGATGTGCTGGGCTCAAAAGCAGTTCAGTGATTGACTGATTATGACTCCATTCATCATCATTCATCGTCAGACAGGAAACAAATGTCAGTGTGAGAACACATTACTCCATTACATCTGTCTGTCTGTAGGCTCTCACTCCTAGCAGGGCCTGCCAGGCACATCATTACCATGACAAGTAGTCAGGTACACTATATATACAAAAGTGTGTGGACACCCCTTCAAATTAGTGGATTCGGCTATTTCAGCCACACCCGTTGCAGACAGGTGTATAAAGTCCAGCACACAGCCATGCAATCTCCATAGACAAACATTGCCAGTAGAATGGCCTTACTGAAGAGCTCAGTGACTTTCAAAGTGGCACCGTCATAGGATGCCAACAAGTTAGTTTGTCAAATATCTGCCCTGCTAGAGCTGCCCCGATCAACAGTAAGTGCTGTTATTGTGAAGTGGAAACGTCTAGGAGCAACAACGGCTCAGCCGCGAAGTGGTAGGCCACACAAGCTCACAGAACGGGATCGCCGAGTGCTGAAGCGCATAAAAATTGTGTGTCCTCGGTTGCAACACTCCACTACCAAACTGCCTCTGGAAGCAACGTCAGCACAATAACTGGTTGTCAGGAGCTTCATGAAATGGGTTTCCATGGCCGAGCAGCCGCACACAAGCCTAAGATCACCATGCGCAATGCCAAGAGTCGGCAGGAGTGGTGTAAAGCTCGCCGCCATTGGACTCTGGAGCAGTGGAAACACGTTCTCTGGAGTGATGAATTATGTTTCACCATCTGGCAGTCCGACGGATGAATCTGGGTTTGGCGGATGTCAGGAGAATGCTACCAGCGCCAATGCATAGTGCCAAATGTATAGTTTGGAAAAAAGGAATAATGGTCTGGTGCTGTTTTTCATGGTTCGGGCTAGGCCCCTTAGTTCCAGTGAAGGGAAATCTTAATGCTACAGCATACGACATTCTAGACGATCCTGTGCTTCCAACTTTGTGGCAACAGTTTGGGGAAGGCCCTTTCCTGTTTTCAGCATGGTCCATACAGATATGGTTTGTCGAGATCGGTGTGGAAGAACTTGACTGGCCTGCACAGAGCCCTGACCTCAACACCATTGAACACCTTTGGGATGAATTGGAACGTTGACTGCGATCCAGGCCTAATCACCCAACATCAGTGCCCGACCTCACTAATACTCTTGTGGCTGAATGGAAGAAAGTCCCCGCAGCAATGTTCCAACATCTAGTGGAAAGCCTTCCCAGAAGAGTGGAGGCTGTTATAGCAGCAAAGGGCAGACCAACTCCATATTAATGCCCATGATTTTGGAATGAGATGTTTGACAAGCAGGTGTCCACATACTTTTGGTCATGTAGTGTAGCTACACAGATTACTGATAGGCCTCAACAGGTTCTGTGTTTAGACAAAAACAGTAGTTGGATTTCCAGCTGTTTTAATGATTGTCAGTGTGGTGATTTGGTCACGTTGACACAGAGGAGGAGGTTTTCAACTAGCAAAAGGGGTTTGAAAGAGGGAATTAATAAATAAGAGAAGTATTATATTCAGAGAGACGTTTCATGAGGTTTAATTAATGCGATTTTATCGTTGTCTTCCTGTGTTCACACAGTCCTGTGGAGTTATGATAGGCGCTAGCTATTGCCTTTTTCTGTTCCTAGCTCTCTTTCCTTCCTTCCTACGAGCCTGCGAAAGCACAAGCAACAGAGAATCCTAGCCTCCAGGTAGCTAGCAGGCACGCAGTTGAGGAGTTGACAGCTTATGTCAAAGCCTTCCCTGTGTCTTTTAAATGTCTTGTGTTTAAACTCAACCAGGAAGTTGCTCATTACATGCCCGTTACAAGATGTAACATAACACCAAGACATGTCAGCTTCTGACTGCTCTTAACACCTACTACCTATGAGAGACTGATTAGAGTAAATGCATAGACAGGAGGCAGAAAACATCCTCTTCAGATACATGTCAAGAGAAAGGAGATGCTAACAATGTGAAAATGCATGTGGAACTATGCAGGTACAATACAATAAAGAAGAAAAAATACAACAAAGACGTGACCGCCTACGACCAATGACAGAAAAATACAACGGCTGAGTGTAAGGAAGATTCTCACATAATATCCATGAATTGTCTGTCAAAATAGGACAACTCTGTATGGTTTATTTGTTGTACTTTGTGTTTGACTACACTGTGACTTAGTGAAATAATTGAACACCCCCCAAAATCAAGATGCGCTTGATTGAGCTTGCCTTTGTGCAATGGACCTAATTAGAATAGCCCCAAAAGTGAAAAAGCTGCATATCTGTCTCTCAAGACAGACTCAATCAAATGTTCAAAGTAATTGAAAGAAATGGTTTGCTCCATAAGGTCTGCTGCATAGGGAAGGTTAGTATTCATTAGGTACAAAATATAATAAAACGGACTGAAACAGGGACAGGCTACCTGAAGTTGTCCAATAAGAAACGCTAATTGCACAATGTTTTGAAATGTTTTGCTACGGTGTGCCCTAATGAATACAACCCAGTTGTCTTACCAAAAACGACCACAGTGGCGGTGAGGCTGCGTCTCTTGGCCACGATGTTGCTGGCCAGACACGTGTAGTTTCCCGAGTCAGACAAACGTGCCTCCTGGATGATCAGGTTGTGGTCCGCTCGCGTGTCGATATTCCCATCTGAGCCCACCGGCTCCTCATTCTTCAACCACTCCACCTAGAACAACAGAGATTAATAGGGAGTGAGGCCGCCATTGGTCAAAATCCACCAATCAGAATGAAGAATGGGAGTGAGGCTGCTAAAAAGGTACATTTGAAATAATTATTGCACACAATGCAATGTAGGTTTGTAGTAACATTGTTGGCTAAATCTTGCCTGCTGCTCTAACAATCACTAAATATATTCATCGTGAAGATACATGAACATACATTCATGAACATACATTCATCGTGGAGAAGAAACGTCCTTTTGGCTGGAGCGATATGGATGAGTAGCCAAGCAAGGCTAAATCATGTTCAAGACCCACTGTACAGCACTGTATATGCTCCATATAATTGACTGGCCCAAAGTAGGCTTTCTACATTTGACATTTTAGTCATTTAGCAGACGCTCTTACAGTGAGGGAAAAAAGTATTTGATCCCCTGCTGATTTTGTACGTTTGCCCACTCACAAAGAAATGATCAGTCTATAATTTTAATGGTAGGTTTATTTGAACAGTGAGAGACAGAATAACAACAACAAAAATCCAGAAAAACGCATGTCAAAAAATTTTTTAATGAGGGAAATAAGTATTTGACCCCTCTGCAAAACATGACTTAGTACTTGGTGGCAAAACCCTTGTTGGCAATCACAGAGGTCAGACGTTTCTTGTAGTTGGCCACCAGGTTTGCACACATCTCAGGAGGGATTTTTGTCCCACTCCTCTTTGCAGATCTTCTCCAAGTCATTAAGGTTTCGAGGCTGATGTTTGGCAACTCGAACCTTCAGCTTCCTCCACAGATTTTCTATGGGATTAAGGTCTGGAGACTGGGTAGGCCACTCCAGGACCTTAATGTGCTTCTTCTTGAGCCACTCCTTTGTTGCTTTAGCCGAGTGTTTTGGGTCATTGTCATGCTGGAATACCCATCCACGACCCATTTTCAATGCCCTGGCTGAGGGAAGGAGGTTCTCACCCAAGATTTGACGGTACATGGCCCCGTCCATCGTCCCTTTGATGCGGTGAAGTTGTCCTGTCCCCTTAGCAGAAAAACACCCCCAAAGCATAATGTTTCCACCTCCATGTTTGACGGTGGGGATAGTGTTCTTGGGGTCAAAGGCAGCATTCCTCCTCCTCCAAACACAGTGAGTTGAGTTGATGCCAAAGAGCTCGATTTTGGTCTCATCTGACCACAACACTTTCACCCAGTTCTCCTCTGAATCATTCAGATTTTTATTGGCAAACTTCAGACGGGCATGTATATGTGCTTTCTTGAGCAGGGGGACCTTGCGGGCGCTGCAGGATTTCAGTCCTTCACGGCGTAGTGTGTTACCAATTGTTTTCTTGGTGACTATGGTCCCAGCTGCCTTGAGATCATTGACAAGATCTTCCCGTGTAGTTCTGGACTGATTCCTCACCGTTCTCATGATCATTGCAACTCCACGAGGTGAGATCTTGCATGGAGCCCCAGGCCGAGGGAGATTGACAGTTCTTTTGTGTTTCTTCCATTTGCGAATAATTGCACCAACTGTTGTCACCTTCTCACCAAGCTGCTTGGCGATGGTCTTGTAGCCCATTCCAGCCTTGTGTAGGTCTACAATCTTGTCCCTGACATCCTTGGAGAGCTCTTTGGTCTTGGCCATGGTGGAGAGTTTGGAATCTGATTGATTGATTGCTTCTGTGGACAGGTATCTTTTATACAGGTAACAAGGTGAGATTAGGAGCACTCCCTTTAAGAGTGTGCTCCTAATCTCAGCTCGTTACCTGTATAAAAGACACCTGGGAGCCAGAAATCTTTCTGACTTATTTCCCTCATTAAAATGCAAATCAATATATAACATTTTTGACATGCGTTTTCCTGGATGTTTCTGTTGTTATTCTGTCTCTCGCTGTTCAAATAAACCTACCATAAAAATTATAGACTGATCATTTCTTTGTCAGTGGGCAAACGTACAAAATCAGCCGGGGATCAAATATTTTTTTCCCTCACTGTATCCAGAGCGACTTACAGTTAGTGAGTGCATACATGTTTTGTTTTTTTCATACTCACTATTAGAATCAGCCTATGAGAGTAACTCCCAGCCTCCCTTCAACCAATCAGAGGGACTCCCAGCCTCCCCTCAACCAATCAAAGCAAAGCTCTCAGCAGGGTCACACCCTTCGACCATTAGCAATTCAGCAGCCATGTTGTGAGCGAAAGTAATTAGGAATTACAAACTAAACTAACGCTCCACTGATGCTTCCCTATATCGCATGGCTGGCCCTGTAAATTGAAATGAATGTGCCTTTGGCTGGAGGTGCTCAATGAGAACGACTAGCCAGGGTATCTGGGAGCAAAGCTTGATTTATGACTGTGTGTTTGAGGACTAAAAACTCTCCCCACCCCACTGGGAGCCCTGTTGGTTTGTGTGTCCATTTGCCAGGGGAATACCAGAACCACCAATAACACACAATCTCAGAGATTGATTTGCTCTTTGGCAGTGCCCCCGATAGACAAATGCGAGCAGAGAAATCCATAAATCACCAGTTATGTTGTCACAAGTGGCTTTTTTTCTTCCTTTGATGGTCATGTGCTTTTATTTTCACTCTTTTCGCAGTTCTGCTCCAGAGAAACTAAGCTGGTGGCCCTTCTTCCTGTCTCCCTTTCTCTCTACACTCATTTTCCTTCAATGACTAATCAACCCCCACGTTACCTTTCAACTATTTTCTCCAACACTGCTACCAGCGACATGCACTCAACTCAACAGAGAGGGTCAGTACTAAGAACCTGCCAAACCAAAAAAGGAAGCCATATTGTTTATGGTTCTTTTCCCAATTGTGGATTTAATTATTTATCCACACATAAAACAGGGTTATTAGACTTATTTTCACCATCACACCATTTGTCTTTATTAGTCATGTATTATTTCTCACTGTCTAATGATGACCTTTTTGTGTTGTTGCTCATCCAGTCTTTCTCTTCCTCCTCCCCCCATTTCTCCATCTCTCTCTGATGTTTCTGCTTGATTGTTTAATCTCTCTCTCTCTGTATATGTCTCTATCTCAGTGGGCAGTGTAAACAGGGCAGTGACTTGCATTCTGTGGTGGCAGTCCCTGAGTCTGGCTGTTGGGGGTGGTTGGGAGTGGAGTTTACAACGACGGAGGCAGTGATAAGTACGCTGGGACAGAAAGCCTGGGGAGGATGGGAAATGGATTTGTTTACAGTCATTTGCCACATTTGTTCCAATTAGAAGGCATCAAGCAGCACTGGGTTGAGCCATGCCCACTCTGAAGTGTGTGTGTGTATGATGTGTGTGATCGAGCGATTGCAGATAATGATTGTGTGTGTGTGTGTGTGTGTTGTCTCAAACCCATGATCCTGTGTTGATAAGTGTCTGATGCTGTCTTCCTAAGTTGATTTGTTCTTAAACCGTAACCAAAAAAATATTTAATTGGTGAAGCACATGTCCTAAGCTCAAGGCGCAAACATTTTTTAACACGCATATGACAGGAGCGAGCCAGCAGGGGGCGGAGTGACTGGCACCCCCACGGGGGGAGTTGTAGGGAGGCTTTGATATTTGTTGTGACGGTTTGAACCTGCTTGAATGAGCCAAAGGAGCCGTAGCTATGACATCCTAACCTTGACTCGACAACAAAGCTAAGCGCCAACCAGGTCATTCCAATCAGCTCATATGCAAAATCAGGTGTAATAACTAATAACGCCATCACTCTGAAAAAAAAAGCAACCGGCCGCCACATTAACATTCATTTACAGTGGAAGTGAAAGCGACAACAAGGCAATTACCAAACATTACGGCATTTCTCAGTTTCCTTCCATCCAACTCAATTAACTATGAGTTTCATTAACAAGCCCCCTAGTCCTCCTCCATCACTATTTCCTCTCCATTTCTCCATCCCCTCCTCCCTCAATCATGTCCGGCCTTTTCCCCATCGACGCTCCGATGACTTTTGGAGAAATCACATTAAACAAATGAGGTCTCGGAATGTGACAGCAACATTACGGTGTGGCGGGGGCGGTAGCGGCAACGCACTAAACCTTCGGCGTGTCCTTGTCTTATCTCTGCGCCGTTTGGAAATGTTATGTTTATCAGTGAATAATTACATTTTAAGCACTTTAAATTACTTTGGATCAGCCGACTTAATGATTAATTACAATTTGGTGGGGGAAGATTGGGCGCTTAATACGAAGCCTAATGATTGTGAAGTTGTAATTTTTTCCCCAAAGTTATTGAAAAGTATTTTTTTCTCTCCCCATCTCCAAAGTTTCTTCCTTGTATTGCCTTAAGTCATCTGTGTGATCATCTTCTTGACAGTTAATATGGACCTTTTATTGTGGCTGGTCCTTGTAATTGTGTTTTCATTATTTGATGATCTTTTACTTCCTATTGCGTTACATTTGCAACACAAAATCACTTTTATTCAAATGAACTTAAACATTACAAAAGTATTTTATTTTCTGCCGGATCTATCAAGAAACCAGGTGTGGCTCTGATAGGAACCCATTGTAGCTCTAGCTTCTTACTTTTCACTTTCAACAAAGCAGCCAGGTGTTTATACACTTCCCTCTGCATGTATTTGGACAGTGATGCAATTATTATTATTTTTGGCTCTATACTACAGCATTTTGGATTTAAAATCAAATGTTTCATATGAGAAAACAGTACAGAATGTCACCTTTAATTTGAGGGTATTTCCATACATACAGTATCTGATTTAGAAGTCATAGGTATTTGGACTAATTCCCTTATATTGTATTAAAGTAGTGAAAAGTATAGTATTTGGTCCCATAGCACGAAATTACTACATCAAGCGCTACAAACTCGTTGGATGCATTTGCAGTTTGTTTTGGTTTTGTTTTGGGTTATGTTTTGCCCAATAGGAACTGAATGGTGAATAATGACTGGAGTCATTTACTTTCTAAGTGAGTAGATAAGATGTTTCTGAACATGTCTAAATTAATCCTGATAATGCCATGATTAATACAAATCATGAATGAATCATGAATAATGATGAGTGAGAAAGTTACAGAGGCTACAAATTACCTATAATGGGGTAGGTTAGCATTTTTTGGGATGTATGATCTTTGTCCCTCTGTAACTTTCTCATTCATCACCATTCATGATTCATTCATGATTATCCATAATCATGGTAGCATCCATATTCATGTAGAAGTGTTCACAGACATCTTATATTCTTACTTACAATAAAAGTGACTCCAAAATGACACAATTCATTATTCACCATTAAATTCCTATTGGGAAAAACATAACCCGAAACACAACCAAAACTAGCTTTAAATGAATCCAACAACTTGATGTAGTCATTGTGTGCAAGGAATATGGGACCAAATACTAAACCTTTGACTACTTTAGTGAATTTGTCTAAATAATTTTGACTTTTTCAAATGGGGGCACTTGGTAATAAAGTGCTTTCATTTGTAAAAGGTAAAACAGATATGTATGTAAATACCCTCAAATAAAAGGTGACATTCTGTACTGTCGCCTCATATGAAACATTTTATCTAAAATCCAAAATGCTGGAGTATAGAGCCAAATTCAAAATGTTAGCTTCACTGTCCAAATACATACGGAGGGGAGTGTAGATAGCACCATCAAGCATCTAGTTCAGATGTGTCAGCTCCAGTCGCAGTCCCCACCAGCTGTACTCTGGGACACAAGCAGCAACTGACTTTGCCATTTTGGCTCCGTTACTACTGAGCCAGATGGAGTGACATTCAGGGGTGTAGTGCTGCCGGAGCGCACCGGAGCCTCGCTCCGCCACTTCTCACAGTGGTGCTTGTTTACTAAAGTTAGATCAAAGCTGAATCAATGTCTGCAAAGTCACATACTATTTTATTAGTATTCTACACAACATAACCAAATAGAAGAGCAAAGTATAATGGTCCTGTTAAGACCAAAAACACCACTTTATTTCTTATGAGATTTTAGGATGATTAGCTGAGTGGTCACATTTTTTTTCTCATGTGGCTAAAAGTCAACAGCATGCGTGCCACGGCACCACTAGGCAAAATATGTGCTTTGATTGAAACAAAATAAAGGTAGGTCTAGCTATGCTATTTGTTACCACCAGTGATGGGCAAAAATGACAAAATACAGATACAAAATACCATAAAGGTCAATGTATCAAAATAAACTACAAAATACTTGTATTTGTAATGTATTTAATTAAAATACATGTAATTTGTACTTTAAAATACAAAAATAAATTTTGAAGTAGCTGGCCCGAACAGCATCAAAATTCTCAGTAACGGTTACAAAAATGTTTTTCTTGCTATGACTGTGAAATGTTGTTGTTTATCTACTTTAGTTGATCAAGACACTCTGGATAAGAGTGTCTGCTAAATGTAAATGTATATAAGAAAATGAACATACCAAAATGAACTGCAAAGCACACTGGGTATTATTATTGGCTTTGTTTCAGGGCGAAGCTCATTAGAGTAATACTTTTTACATTTACATTTTTGTCATTTAGCAGATGCTCTTATCCAGAGCGACTTCCAATTAGTGCATTCATCTTAAGATAGCTAGATGACACAACAACATATCACAATCATATCAAGTACATTTTCCCTCAACAAAGTATTTATCAAGATTTGTACATATACATTTATATTTAGTTAATTTAGCAGATGCTTTTATCACACCATAGTGCTATCGGACTTCTAATACCAATGCAGGGTGAAAGGGCAAAATGTGAACCACAAAAAAACGGTGTAGAAAAGTATTTAGAAAATGTACAAAATATAAACTACATCGGAGAGTAGCTCAGCCCAGTGTAATTCAAATGACAAAATACTCAGAAGTAATTAAAATACATATTTTACATACATTTAACATAAATACTGCCCATCTCTGGTTACCACCATCTGCTCTAATTCGCTCACGAAACCGACATAATTCAAGAAGATCTAAATGCATATTCCCATGAAACTGATAGAGATCAAATGATTGGCATGCAGATGCAGTTTGGACGTTTCATTGTTAAAACAATTATTATTATTCACGATTGACAGATTAAGTATGCTTAATTTGGTGTTTGAGGGTATTAAAAATAAAAACATTTCTTGACACAATATGTGTGGGCATAGACAGATGTTGCATTTAGGATGCTATTTTCTTTTTGGGGTACTTTTACCAATTTTTTCTCCCCAATTGGTAGTTACAGTCTTGTCCCATCACTGCAACTCCCGTATGGACTCAGGAGAGGCAAAGGTCGAGAGCCATGCCGCACTGCTTCTTGACACACTGCTCGCTTTACTCAGAAGCCAGCTGCACCAATGTGTTAGAGGAAACACCGTCCAAAGTCAGCTTGCAGGTGCCCAGCCCGCCACAAGGAGTTGCTAGAGCGCGATGGGACAAGGAAATCCCGGCCGGCCAAACCCTCCCCTAACCCAATTGTGCGCCACCTCTTGGGTCTCCCAGTCATGGCCAGCTGGGACACAGCCTGGGATTGAACCCAGGGCTGTAGTGACGCCTCAAGCACTGCAATGGAGTGCCTTAGACCGCTGCGCCACTCGGGAGGCCTTTAGGATGCATTTTATGCATATTCTAAAATGCTAAACGATAATCTGTCGGTACAAACATTGGTTGAGAAATTATAACGCCATTTACATTTTTTGGGGCGTTCCAGTACCTAACAAAACAGTACTACACCACTGTTGACATTGTCTGAGCAAACAGAACAGAGAAACAGAGAAGTGATATGTGAGGATACTGTGATGATATATTGTGCATTTCTTTCAAACAGTATGGACAATCACAGCCATTACATATGCATAGATAAATCCGGTGAACTGTTGGCAAATTATTTAATGTTGAGTCAGATGTTGATTCAAATGTGCACTGCTTGTATTAGCTCAGCAATAATGTGTTTTCATGAACTCACAACACTATGCAAATTGCAGCAAAATGTAAAACAGCATTCAAATAAACAGCATGACCAAAGTAAACGAAGT